CATGTTTTAGATACTCCTACACATTTAGAATTTCTTTGCAGATTTTTCTTCCTCATCTAGTCTGAGCTTGCTCTGTTTCTCTCTCTCTCTCTCTCTCCCCCCCCCCCCCCTCCCCCCTCTCTCCCCCCACTCTCCCCCTCTCTCTCCCCCTCTCTCTCCCCTTTCTCTCTTTCTCTATCTCTTCCTTCCTCCGTTCCTTCCTTTCCTTCCTTTCTTTCCTTTCCTCCCTTTCCTCTCTTTTCTTTCTTTCTGACATGGTCTGGCTCTGTCACCCAGGCTGGAGTGCAGGGGTGCAGTCTCAGCTCACTGTAACCTCTTCCCCCCAGACTCAAGCCATTGTCCCACCTCAGCCTCCCAAGTAGCTGGGACTACAGGTACACTCCACCATGCCTGGCTAATTTTTGTATTTTTATAGGGGTGGGGTCTCACTTTGTTGCCCTGACTGGTCTCAAGCTCCTGAGCTCAATCTGCCTGCTTTGGCTTTCCAACATGCTGGGATTACAGGCATGAGCCACTGCGCCCAGCCTCATCTGAACTTTTTTAATATAGGGCCTGTTTCTCTGTAATAGAGACTGTTTGTCATTTGTCTTGATAAATCCAAGGTATAGCATGGTGTTGGATGCATAACAGTCACCACTAATAGTTTTGTTTAATGAATATATATACTACTAATCTGGGGGAGGAGAGAGATTTTTGTAAATTGTGTTCTGCTTGATTTTGTTATTTTCAACTAATGAAATAAAGATGTGATTCTGTGATCTATTCATTTTGAAAGATTTTTTTTCAGTAAGGCAAAAGTGATTAAGCATAATGTATTTCTGTGTATAAAATTTTATTTAGAAGTTAAAGACTTTTGGAGGAAAAACATTTCAAATTATATGTTATTGCTTATAGAACAAATTTAGTCCTTCGCTGAGAATACTTGTCAAAGGATGTAAATAAATGTTACATAATTATTCCTAACGCAAATTAGATACTCGGTGAACATTTGTTTCTATAGTAAATATGCTATAAATAGAATTGTTCACTTTATGATTTTTTTTCTTTCTTCATTTTAGCATTTATGACATTAACAGAGAACAGGACTGTATCAAGAATTCTGAGGGTATACTTGGTGAAAATGAATTAAGACCACCCTCCCAGCTACATTCTCTCTCAGAGAAGATCGAGATAGGGTCCCTATCAGAAAAGAGTGGGTATTAAACTAAGTGCTATAAGTCATAATTAATGAATCTAGAATAGAATGATTAAAATGTTTTTAGTTTTAATTTAGATCATGTAAAACAAAGACTTTAAAAAATTATGATTTCCAGTACCTATATTTTTTAAAATAATCATTAGTCCAAAATTAATAGGTGATTAACTTTTCAAATTGCAACATAAAACATGTATGTTCCTCTATTTGTATCTTTTAAATTGTTGCATTTTTATTTGGTTTTTGAATTGAAATATTTTAAATGGTAGAAGTAATACATGCAAGAAAAACCCATATGTATAAGGTTAAAAAATGTAAGTTCCCCTTGTATCCACTTTCCAATTTCAACAGCCATTGCTTTAGCCATTATTAAGAGTTTGGCTTCCCACCTTTCTAGATCTTTTTATGTATACTTTCAAACAAATTATATATTTTTCAGCCAAGTGTCATCATATAATGTAGCATATAATAGATATCTTTATATGCCAGTATGTACGGATTTACCTTGTTTTTATTTAGTAGTTGAAAGTTGTTCCCTGTTGATGGCAATTAAGGTTATTGCCAGTATTTTCACTATTAAAGATACTGATACACATGGAACACCTTTTTGTGTGTGTGTGTGGGGGGGTGTGTGTGGGGGTCCGTGTGTGTCTGTGAGTATTTTCAGGAATAGATTCCTAGAAATGAAATGGTTAATGAGTATGTGTATTTAAGGTTTTATATAGGTCCTACCAAATTGTGCGCTAAGAAGTTACATTTATCTAAACCCAGATATCCTTTAATATCTTCAAAGTAGAAGTAATACATTTTAGGATTAAGTAACAACCTGTTCCTTCAGCAGCTATCAAATGGCTTACTTCGACTAAATGAAGGATATAGGCATCTTTAGTATTAATGAAGGGTTGCAACCCTTCTTTAGGGAGATGTAGTCAGGAAAGTCCTGGGGAGATGTGCAAGAGCTAGTTGTTTTAGAATTTCTGTGACACCTAAGATGTTGACATTAGTTTATTTCATCATCTACTTTCAGACCAGATGTTTCTAGAATGGAAGACAGTTATCTGTGATATGGCATCAGAAGTTGGTTTATAATTTTCTCATCTCTATTAGGAGTTAAAAAGAGAGACAAGTGTCTAAAACCAGTCTCACTCAGTATCTCTAAGGGATTTTGAGAAGGGGAAGAGGTTATTGCAGTTACTTTGACTAGAATCCAACCTATATCAAGCTTAGACTTAACATTTAAGACTAAACTCACAAATGGAGGAATGTGTCAAAAGCCAGGTACTACAGGAAAACTCAATTTTCAGAGCTATTGTGATTGAACTTAACCTTTCTTACATGCTCTTTCTTCATCACTTAAGCCCTCAGGGATATACTTAATACTTTATAGGCAAGCACTTCTCAAGTTACCTTCTTAGATTTTTAGGTGTCTTTGTGGTATAGCCCCCTCTTCATTTTAAAAGTCTGGTAGTCTTGAATGTTTAAATAAAGCTTGAGCATTACTCAGCAAAAACGAGACCATTTGTTCATGAAAGTGTTTGTATCGTTTAGTGCACTAATTGGACTCTCAGATGAAAGTGTATTTTGTAAAGAAGGGAGAGCATCAAATTTCTAGGTGAAATTTTCGTCTATTTTCTCATTTACTGAGAGGAAACTTGTGCTTTCTTGAGAGTGTAATTGATGTCTTTATGAACCCATGAAAGATTTAAGATTAGCTACGATTTTCCAACAACTTTGCTTTTAACATACCTCCACTAACCATAAAATCACTGCTTTTATGCATGTACTGCTATTTGGAGAATACTGGCCTAAAGTGGAAGCATTTTTAACCATAAATAAATAGTTCTGGAAATAAAAATATATAAGCAAAAAATAATTTGGTACTTGCTCCTCCTCCTTCGTTTTAAATCATTGGCTTTATTTGTAGCTTTATAGGGAACAGTATTCCCCACACTGGTATTAATGAAGTGTTTTGTGACTGTGTATTTGAGAAACTCTATACTAGTGTTTTTAATTGCACCATCTTTCCAGTTTTCAGTTCGTTATTGTGCGTTATGATGCTCAAAAATGAGGATGTATATAACTTAAATCTGTGCCTATTAATGACTTATAGAATTTAGAGAAGTTGATAATCATAGTCTTCATTTCCAGAGTTACTTTTTAAAACATTTCTTTCAGTGTAAACGATATGTTTCTCACATATTGGATCTTGGTCTATAGATAATTCAATTTCAAAAATTTCTTGCTTTTTTATAAACATCAAATATAAAGTTTCCAAAATTATTGTTTCTAAAGAATTCTTGATTTGTGTTTAGGCTAGCAGTACAGATTATTTGTAAAATGAATTTGAAAATGCTCAGGCTTGCCAGTTTGCTTTGAGTAATGTAGCTAATAAAACTTTAATTTTAATTATTGTAACTGATATTTTGCTATTTGCATCTATTCAGAATGTCCTTATTTTTTACAGCACTGGTATATTGAAGGAGAAAGTGAAACTGAGCAAAAGTAAAAGTAAACTTAGAATGAATATGTAAATCATGTATATCAACTTCAGAATATTCATAAACATTTCATTCTTTTCTATTTACAGTCTTTCATTTTGATACTTGGAAGTTTATTAAAATATTTTAAAATATCTTGATAATTAAAGTATTAGGACAGTTTAGTCCAAATTTAGCTTACTAAAATGTTTGCTTTCATTTCTGAGATAGTCTAATTTTTGTATATCGGTTACTTATAAGTTAATTTTGATTGAGATTCTTTTTTCTCTTTACTTTTTGAACTTTAATACATTTGGGAGTTTTGGTAAAAGTAGGAAGCCATATTACTGTACTTCATAACATTTATACTATATGACCAATACTTCCAGTGCTATATAAATCATTCTCTTCTCCTTATTATTTATAAATACTGGGTTTGTAAAACCCCCCAACCTTAATAAAGAGAATAGAAAGAATACAAATAGGAGAGTGAACAGTTAAAATGGTTAGATGCGAGAGTGTTCTTAGGTCATTAGGCTCAGTTCTTGCTAAAGTAGAGACTTGTAAAATCAAAAGGCACAAAGAGTCAGTCAACATAATTACTGGATCCAGTCGGTAATTCTCAATTAGAAAACATGCCTCTCATGGGAAGGCGTATCACAGTCTCTCAGCACTATCTCACATGGGTGTGGTTTGAAAAAAGTACCTTCAAAAAATTGTAAATACAGCTCTGTTGTATAATATGAAAGTGATTTTATAATATAACTCACAGGAAGTAAAACTCAATATACTCTTCTTGGCTGATGAGGAAATCCCAGAGATACAGTGATTTCTATTGTGTTTGGTGACTGGGCAATAATAGGTCCCTTAAAAGGAACCCAGCTGACTTAGGGATTTAATGAAAATATGTAAAGGGTAAGTTTATCAAGCATGGCGTATATATTTAAAAAAAAAAAAAAAAAGAAGAAGAATAGAAACAGAGGATTAAAAAAAAACTAAAGAATGAGAAATTGCTCTAAAAGTCTAAGCAGTTCCTGACCACCACTTTGACACTACAGTTGTATCTGCTTTTGACCAACTACAGTTATAGTACACAGCTTTCAACCAAAAGACATACGGGGTCTGGCAGGGCATATTTTAGCTCCTGTATTAAAAGTAATTCAGGCTCAGTTGTAATTTATTTAGGTTATTTTGCTAAGACAGTACAAATATTTCTTAGTTATATAGGGAAGGAATAGATGATGTTTTGAGTGATATTCAGTGTGTCCCACTTAACCCCATCCTTTGGTATCTGAAATAGCTGCGTTATTTTTGTTTGTGTTTTACAGTTTTTGAGACAGTGTCCTTGAGTTCAGACTCTCTCTTCCAGAGGGCAGTTTCACTCCTCCATACATCTTACTTGGACTCTTCATCTGAGCATGGTTTTCAGTACAGTCAAGTGACTTTGGTGAAAAATGACATTTTCTTAAATGAGGTGAGGTGCTTGGTACACACTGTGGTAGTTTTGTTTTAGTTTTAAAAGAGGTAAACCCATCATTTTTGGTATATAAATCTAGTGCTTTTAGCTATCATTTTTCAGACGAAGCAGATCTTTGGAAATAGCCACTTGGAAAGTAATTCTATGGAATAGAAAAATAATGCGTTTATGTTTAGTCTTATAGCAGGAGGAATTTAAATGATGCGTTTTAAAAATTAATTTGCAGGACAAAATAGTAAGTTTATAGCATTTGGTTATTCTCTCTTTACACAGTACAAAACTTTTTACCGACAAAAAAAAGCAAGTAACTATACTCAGGAAGAACTTCAAGACACTTACGGGTTTCTTCTGTTTGATACTGAAAAGGAGGTAAGGGAATTAGGTTGTAGAAAATTAATGGCATCATTAGTCTTAAATATTGTGGTGCTTCCGTTTTGTAAGAGTTGTAAGATTACCAAATCATCAGTGTTTTTTGTTACTTAGTTTGGTGGCATGTGAATGACAGCAGTAAAAGCCAGTCATGAAGGAGATTTGATTAGATTTCTACAACTTTTCATGGTTTCTCTTAAATACATTTAAGAGTTTAAACATATTTAAGTTTCATCTTAAATACATTTGTAAGCTTAGGGTGCAATTTGGATTAAAACGGGTTTCTTTAGTGTCAATAATGCCCTTTAATAGATTGAAGGGATATTTTTCCATTCTGGATCATCGTTTAATAGATACTTTGTTTCTTGTGGATATTTTTCTGGTTTAAATTACATGATTTGGGAGATAAATCATGTAACTTAATAAACTTTGGCATCCTGGTTAACTGAAATTCCTTCATTCAATATTTGAAGACTGAAATCTGTATTGTTGCCTGTACCTAAATTATGGGAGAAGGAAAGGACGGTGTACAGGATAGGTCTCCAAAGATATGTATGGCTTCCTAGATACATTTTAAATAATACCAGAGATCTAAAATAATTCAAAGTTAGTGCTTCGATTAGATTAATGGTCTATAAAGAAGGGGGGCAGATTTGTTTAGCAGATAATTAGCACTAACATATAATAAGGACTATATAGTAATACCAGAAGAGTTTATCCCTTTTTAACTTAATCATCTGAATTCAAATAGGATGCTCTGGGTTCTTACTAAAAATAACATTTGGCAATAAGACATTTTGAAATTTCATGGTTCTAAAGCTGTAGTTGGAAAATAAGTCTTCTAGCGGACTTACCTGTGACCCTGCTTAATTTGGTTTTGCTGACATTTTTGTTAATTGAAACGGTAAAATTCTGTGAAAATTTTGGGCCATTAATCAAAATACAGATTGCTTTGAATAAGTTTTCTTTGTGCCCTGAGTACCTACAGTGAGCAGACTATTTATTTTAAAGCTTATAGATTAGGCCAGATGCAGTTGTGCCTCACACCTGTAATCCCAGCGTTATGGGAGGCTGAGGTGGGAGGATTGCTTGAGCCCAGGAGTTTGAGATCAGCCTGGGAAACATAGTGAGACCCTGTCTCTATCGTATTATAAAAAAATAAAACTAAAAAAAAAAAAAAAAAACTTACAGATTATAGCTTTATTTCATTGCTACTTCAAAGACTGAAGCAAAGTAATCTTTTGTTTAAAGGCAAAATTGGTATGTCAGCGTGGACTCCGTGTTGGCAGCAGTGCTGTTACCACTCTGGGTGATCCAGCCAAAGGTAAGCCTGTAAAGCAAAAAGAATCTTAAAAAAAAATCTTTTACAAGATGAAGTGAGGTTTCATTAGGTTTATAAGATATGTATATTAAAAGCCAGTTTCATTAAATGTCAAACAGCTCATAATGTTTAGATTTCTAACTTTAAATATATGAACGAGATTTGAGTTTAAAACTTTACAGTATTTTTCAGTGTCGAGAGATTGGTATTGTCGTGAGAATGTCTTCTAAGTTATCACAATGGCAATAAGAATAGACACTAGATAGAACTGACCAAACTTGGCAACCATGGAATGTGAGGGGTAAGAGAAGAAATAATCAAATATAAGCTTTTAAACTTATATTACAATGATAATTATTAATAGAAAAGAGGTATATAAGAAGAGAAGCAGATTAGTAGAGAAGCTGATGAGTTAAAAATGTTATCTAATTGTCAAGAATATAAATTAGCACTCACTTTTTTTAAGATTCAGTTTCTTCATGTGTAAAACAGATTAAACTACTTTATAGAGTTGTTGGGAGGATTCAGTGAGACTAAAGTGTTTAGCCCAGGACTTTGCACCTAATAAGTTCTCAGTAAATGGACAGTACTACTTTTATGAGTTGAATTTGAGAAATAGTGAGATTTTCATAAGTGTTTCTGAAAGATAGCCTGTAGGTCATAAAGGGATCAGAACTAGATTTGGGGCTGGGGTTGTGGGAGTGGAGTGTGAACTGAAGCTAAGACATTGTTAGTGGGATGGCATGGAAAGAGAAGATGGCAAAAACAGAACTTTTGGGTCATTAATGGGACCAGGGTGTGGGGAGGTAGAGCGAGGATAGAACGAGGAGGTGTCAAGAGCGGTCTGTTGCATGGAGACCTAGGAAATAAGAGTTTCACAGACAGCAGAAAGATCTCACAAAGAGGGGTATTTAGCAGTGCCAGGTACTATGTAGAATGTGGAGTTCAGAACTGAGAAAGATTATCATGGCTAGATTCCTGCTGACCTTTAAAAAAAAAAAAACTGCTTTATTGAGATATAATTTCACAATTATAGAATTCACCCATTGTTTAATGTAGTCCCATAGTTGGGTAACCATCATAACAGTTAATTTTAGACCATTTTTATCACCCAAAAAAGAAATCCCATGGCCTTTAGCAGTGACTACCCATTCTCTACCATCCCCGCTCTAGGCAACTACCAGTCTATTTTCTGCGTTTATAGATTTGCCTGTTCCGGACATTTCATATAAGTGGAATCATCTCATATACGGTCTTTTTTGAGTAACTTCTTTTAGCATGTTTTTAAGGCATATTGTAGCATGAACCAGTAGTACTTCATTCCTTTTTATGATTGAATAGTGCAGTCCTGCAGCACTCAACAATGGGGATATGTTCCAAGAATTGCCTTGTTAGGCAGTTGTTGTTGTTGTTTTTTTTTTTGAGACAGAGTTGCGCTCTGTCGCCAAGCTGGAGTGCAATGGCGCGATCTCAGCTCACCGGAACCTCCGACTCCCTGGTTCAAGTGATTCTCCTGCCTCAGCCTCCTGAGTAGCTGGGATTACAGGCATGCACCACCATGCCCAACTAATTTTTGTATTTTTAGTAGAGATGGGGTTTCACCATGTTGGCCAGGATGGTCTCGATCTCCTGACCTCATGATCTGCCCTCCTTGGCCTCCCAAAGTGCTGGGATTACAGGTGTGAGCTACCACGCCCGGCCGCAATTTTTTACTCATGTGGACGTCACAGAGTGTACTTAGAGACACCTAGAGGGCATAGCCTACGACACACCTAGGCTATGTGGTATAGCCTGTTGCCCCTAGGCTACAAACCTGTATAGCATGTTACTGTACCGAATACTTCAGGCAGTTATAAAATAGTGGTGTGTGTTTGTGTATCAAAACAGAAAAAGTACAGTAAAAATATGGTATTACAAACTTATGGGACCACTGTCCAAACTTTATGCAGTCTGTTGTTGACCAAAATGTTAAATGGTACAATGCTGTATTCTGTTATGTGGCCATACCATATTTTCTTTATGCATTCATCAGTTCATGGACATATGGGTTATTTCTACTTTTGGGCTATTATGAATAATGGTTCTATGAACATGCACGTACAAGTTTTTGGGTGGACATAGTTATATATATGTCTTCGATATATAATGAGTGGAACCACTGGGTCATATGATAACTCTATAAAACAAAAAAAATTAAAATTTACATTCAATTCATCTTCTGAGGGACATTAAAAGTGATAAATTCATAACCCTAATAACACTGCATACAGCGTTTTTTCTTCTCTCCTATTTTTTCACCCCACTCTCATTTCATTATGAAAAATTCAAACATAGAAAAAGTAAAGAGCATAGTGTAATATACCCATCACCAAAGTTTAGCAAATAATATTATGCATTATTGGCTGGGTGCGGTGGCTCACGTCTGTAATCCTAGCTCTTTCGGAGGCCACGGCAGGTGGATCCCTTGAGGCCAGGAGTTCCAGACCAGCCTGACTAACATGGCTAACTAAACCCCGTCTCTACTAAAAATACAAAAATTAGCCAGGCATGGTGGCGTGCACCTGTAATCCCAGCTACTCAGGTGGCCGAGACTTGAGATTGCTTGAACCTGGGAGGCAGAGGTTGCAGTGAGCCAAGATCACACCACTGCACTCCAGCCTAGGCAACAGAGCAAGACTCTGTCTCTAAATATAAATGTATATAAATATAAATATATATAAAAATATATATATACACACACACATATTGCATTATTTGCTTCATTTGTTTAATTTTTTTTCTGGAGAATTTGAAAGTAAATTACAAATAACCACTGCAGCTTACATCTCAAAACAAAAAAAAAACATTTTCCTGCATTCCTACAATCTTATGATTTCATTGCTGATGTTTGAGAGGCTGGCTTCAGTAGAGTGGTGGAAGTAGAAACTGGATTGTTCCTGACAAATACACGTTCTTCAAAAACACATGCACTGGGGTTGATAATAAAATTAACACTATTACTTACATGTGTTTTGTAGTTTTTGGCTTGACTAGAACTGGATAATTTTGTGTGTAATAATACTTTCAATTAATAATAGTTTTTAAAGCTTATTGATCTTTTAAATCTTCATGAGCACCCTGTGGTGTTTGTATCTGTGACCCAGGCCCACCCTCCCTACCTGAGTGACTTATTCTTACCTGGAACCCAAGCTTCTGACCACAGAATCATCACTCTTTTCCACCGTATCAGTTTTCTCACCCATTGTCTCTTATGTTTTGAAAGAGGTGCCTCAGTTGAGGAATACCCCTGAAGCTTGTCCTTTCCTCCTCATTTTTCACTGCTGCTGCCTTGTTTGAATCCTCCTCTCCAGTCTCAACTATCACAGTACCTTTTTTTCTAATTGGTCTTCTTGCTTCTACTTTCTCCTCTCTGGTGGGCAATCTGCTGCTTAATCTATATTTTATACTTTTACAGGTGTATACATTTCCAAATACTCCGACTATCTTCATCCAAGACCATGGTATCATGGGAAATCTGGTTATGTTGTAATTTTTAATATAATTAAGGTAAAGCCTAAATGTGCTGTTATGTGATTTCCTTTTAAAGTTTAAGGTTATCTACCTTTGATATTCTCTGTAGATCTCAGTTGAACATAGTCCTCACCAAAGTTAACTATCCAAATTCAGGAAAAGCAAAACTATTTTTCCTTTTCTTTAAAAAGAAAACTTTTTAATTCATTTACTAGATTGTAAACTTTTTTTTAACTTCAAAAATAAAGGGTATGCAGGGAAAAATCTTCCTCTCACCTGTCAGAGCTACTTTTTAAACATGAAATAACAAAACAAGTAGCTGCTTATAAGATGACGTGATTACACTTATAAAAGATGAGTTTAGAAAACAACATTCATTGTCTAATGTAAATGGTCAATAGAATCTTATTTTCTTTCTCCATAAGACATCCAGCTTCACAGCTTCATGTGCCACCTAGAATTGATGATGCCACAAATCCTTGAATGTCCTAAATGGTACTGTTTAAGTGAATCATGCAATTTGGAATTTTCACCCAAACAGAAGGGTGATCTAAAATCAGTTGATTTTAGATGTGATTGGGCTTCTTGAGGACATTTCTGTGGTCTCGTTATATTGTTTTTGTTTTAGCTTTCTTACTATCTTAAATTCTTTGGTTTATCAGCCTAGCACTAACTGACCTTTAATTAAAAAAAAAAAAAAAAAAAAAAGCATGTGAACTCTTAGTATTGTGAAGTTTGTTCTCAAAAAAAGTGGAGGGAGAGGCCGGGCTCTGTGGCTTATGCCTATAATCCCAGCACTTTGGGAGGCTGAGGCGGGTGAGGTCAGGAGTTTGAGACCAGCCTGGCCAACATGGCGAAACCCCATCTCCACTAAAAGTGTAAAAAAATTAGCCTGACGTGGTGGCGGGTGCCTGTAATCCCAGCTACTTGGGAGGCTGAGGCAGGAGAATGACTGAACTTGGAAGGTGGAGGTTGCAGTGAGCCAAGATCACGCCACTGCACTCCAGCCTGGATAACAACAACAAAAAAACTCCATCTCCAAAAAAAAAAAAAAAAGGTTGGGGAGTGACATTGTTTTGAGGTACAATCAGTAGTTTTCCTCCCTTAATCTTTCTTCTCTTGCTCTGCAATCAGTGCTGCAGAAAGTATGCCTACTAATGTGGATAATGAGCATTTCATTTTTTACTTAGATTATGCCTAAGCCTTGGTTTCTTGCCACTGGCTGGAGATTGCTGTTTTTGCCTCTGTGTTCTCATCTTCATTTTATTTCACAAAATCGAGCCATACAGAACCATAAAATGTTTGATGAGGAGATGGTAGGGGTGGTTGGTTACTGATAAGTACTATTTATATTTTTTGGTTTAGTGGTGGTTTGGCCTTTGGTGGGTCTGTAAATAAAGACACAGGACATAACAACAAAACATCTTCTTTTTAAAAAAGTAATTATATTCTTCTTATAAAAATTAAAATTGCCTATAGTCCCATATCCCATTTTGATATATTTGTTGGGGTATATATTGTATATTTTTATTTTTTCCTATATACTGAGTTATTAGCCCATGAAAAGAGTTTGTATATACTTATATACTTATAGGCTATTCTTTTTTAGAACTTAATAACATCTTGTGAACATTTTCTTAGGTCATTGTATCATTCAAAACAGCTTTTAAAGTCATTGCATATTTCATCATAATGGTAAACTTGGCCTAACTGCCTTTTTTTTTTTTTTGAGGCAGAATCTTTCTCTATTGCCAGGCCAGAGTGTAGTGACACTATCTCAGCTCACTGCAACCTCCACCTCCCGAGTTCAAGCAATTCTCCTACCTCAGCCTCCCAAGTGGCTGGGACTACAGGCGCGCGCCACCATGCCCAGCTAATTTTTTCGTATTTTAAGTAGAGACAGGGTTTCACCATGTTGGCCAGGATAGTCTTGATCTCTTGACCTCATGATCTGCCCACCTTGGCCTCCCAAAATGCTGGGATTACAGGTGTGAACCACTGTGCCCAGCTGCTTGCTTTTTTCTTTTTTTTGTTTTTTTGTTTTTTTGTTTTTTTGTTTTGTTTTGAGAGACACGTAACCCTTGATGGAGAGAAATCCGTAATGGAAAATACTGCTGACTGTTCAGTGACCAGGACCAGCGGCCTGCTAAGAACTTTGCTACATATTTGCTGCTTGTTAACTTGCTGGGCCCTGGCATAATAGAAGTATCTCAGTTTATAATTTACAACTGATCATAGTTCAGATTGGAAACTCATCTTTTGAAATTTTAGATTTTGTTCTCTTTTACATTACAATCACCAAAGAGCCATTCAATGACCATAACATAAAAGATGGTGGGCTGTAGTTATTCTTTTAAGGAAATGGCTCTCTTAAATTTAGGGTGATTCATATATTTCTTTGATATTGTGATAAAAACTATGGATATTTGTCTCAGATGCCCAAATGTCCAAGATTTTTAAATACATTTTTAAGGGTTCATGGATAATTAAAACTATTTTTGGCCTTAAGATAATTGTTTTTCTAAGAAGTATAGTTCTTAATACAGTTACTGTTAGGGGTCACATATCTGCATCCTTGTTAGACTACTACTAAATGAATCCTAGAGTAAAGGTTATTGCTATTTGAAGGTATCTGATTAGTTTTAATATTTTCATTCTAGGGAAAAGTCAAGTCTGTGTCTGAGAATTATACAACTAACTATACTAAGCCATCTTCTGGCTATGATTGCCACGTGTCTGAAAATACTAACAAGGTTTCTAACAAGACGAGTCATTTTCGTGCCTTTGAACTGAGTCAGGTATAGTCACCTGTGAATGAATAACACCCAAGATATATTTCTGAGTCTAATGTGTTAAATTTCAGGGCTGGGTGGGGTTGAGAAAAACTTGGTACATATGCAATTCCATAGTGCTGCTACCCTGATAATACTTATTTTTCTTCTTGCAGTATTACTTTTACGAACTTTCAGGCAACACTGTTATTGAGCGACCCAGACAGATCTGTCCTTATGTAATTGTAGCTTTTCGATACAGGGAACCTAAAACTATGGCACCACCAGCTCATAAAAGCATGTAAGTAATTGTATACATGCTTTGTTTTACTGAATCTATTTCTTTTACTCTTGTAAAAATGTTCTTTCTTTTTTTTTCTGCCAGACTTGAATGCAGCGAAAATGGTGAGAAATAATTCATTAATTCTTTTAGGTTTTTGTTTTTCTTGAGTAAATATTTCATCATAAATAATCGGTTTCTTTCTTACCTTCATTTCTTAAAGTTCTCATGTCTCCATGGAAAGGGAAATTAATTGTTCAAGACCGTATGCTATGTGATATAGCTCTTTGGTCCACTTACGGTGCAATGATTCCAACACAGCTGTAAGTATTAAATGTTACGTCCTTTACTAATGCTTATATTACAAGTTTTGGGGGTTTTCCCCCCTTCATTTCAAAGCTGGCATTGGTGTAAAATACAGCAACTGTTACTGATTTTAGATGAGGGTACATTTGGGTAGATGTATAGCACACAGGGTATGACATAGGAAACCTAAATTCTAATTTATTAATGGGAAAATGACCTCTTGGGATAAATTAAACTATTTGAAAGTAGAAATTTGACCTTCCCCAAGAAATAAATCAGATTTGCCTGATAGCAAATGTAGCAGATTATAGCCACTGAATATTATTTTTATTAACATTTTGCGGTATCTGAGTTTCAAATTTTAACATGGTTCTCTTAGAAAAGTATTAGAGTAGGCCGGGCGAGGTGGCTCAAGCCTGTAATCCCAGCATTTTGGGAGGCTGAGGCGGGTGGATCACGAGGTCAGGAGATCGAGACCATCCCTGGCTAACATGGTGAAACCCCGTCTCTACTAAAAATACAAAAAAACTAGCCGGGCGTGGTGGCGGGCGCCTGTAGTCCCAGCTACTCGGAGGCTGAGGCGGGAGAATGGTGTGAACCCGGGAGGCGGAGCTTGCAGTGAGCTGAGATGGCGCCACTGCACTCCAGCCTGGGTGACACAGCGAGACTCCGTCTCAAAAAAAAAAAAAAAAAGAAAAAGAAAAGTATTGGAGTAGCTGTTACATGTATTTACGTTAAAAGCAATTATCATGATTAATATTTTCTTCTGGGGAACTGTGAAGAACATCTTAGGAAATCTTTTTTGTTCAACCTGTTCTTAGTTTGTACCCCAAACCATTAAGAAATAGTCATAGTTTAATTGAAATACAAGGTGAAAACTGATGTGTTGTAAGGATTCATTTTTTTTCCTATCAGCCTTTTTTAAGAAGAAATAGGAGTATAATAACCCACAACATAAAAATTATGTGAATAAGCAAATAGGAGAGGAGGGTAAGTTCTTCCTCATTATAGAGTGCAACTAATAAATGTGGAAAGATTGATAAATTAGAAAATCAGCATTTGACAACACCATAATAATCAACCAGTGTATGCTAAAAACAGGTGAAAGTTTAATAATATTTGCATATCTTACGTTTCCCCACTACTTGCTTATTAATCACAAAGGAAAAAAAATGCAGACCTACCAGTGGAGTAAACTGCCAGATACCATCTTAACTAAGTGGTTAAGTTAATGATAGACCTATGCTGATTAAGGAGCATTCTGCAAAATCGTCTGTATTTTTCAAAATATCCAAGTCATTGAAGTAAAGAAAGACTGAAAAACTGTTCCAGATTAAAGGAGACTAAAGAGACATGATTACTGAATGCATTATGGCATCTTGGATTGGAAATTGTTTTCTTTTTCTGTGAAGGAACTTAGTGAGACAGTTGGCAGCATTTGAATAAGATGTAGGTTAAGTCATAGTATCGTATCATTGTGAATGTGTTGATTTTGCTTGTTGCTTTGGGGTTGTATAAGAAAATTTCCTAGGGTCCAGGCACAGTGGCTTACACCTGTAGTCCCAGCACTTTGGGAGGCTGAGGTGAGCGGATTGCCTGAGGTCAGGAGTTGGAGACCAACCTGGCCAATGTGGTCAAACACCGTCTCTACTAAAAATACAATGGGCATGGTGCCACATACTTGTTATCCCAGCTACTTCGGAGGCTGAGGCAGGGTAATTACTTGAACCTAGGAGTCAGAGGTTGCAGTGAGCCGAGATCACACCACTGCACTCCAGCCTGGGTGACAGAGCCAGACTCCATCTCACACACACAAAAAAAGGAAAAAGTAGTCAGGAAATAACTCTTAAATAGCATAATTTTTTTTAAAATTCCTTATTCCTGTGTACATAATTTTTTGACACATCTAGATATTTTGTCTGTACCAAAAATACATGTATTTAGAAAATGTGAACATATTTGCAGACCATGGTTTATGGGTCATGTATTTGAAAATCTGTCGTACTTAAAAATATGCATATTGTTTAACCTGGAGCTTATCAATTTAAGGTCTTTTTTGTGGTTATATATTTTTTTACATTTATATTACAAAACTAAAGCTTATGAAAATTTAGATCCACTGTTTATTATTCTGCTTGATATTGTTGTGTTATTTTTTAGACCACAAGAACTAGATTTTAAATATGTAATGAAAGTGTCTTCCTTGAAAAAACGACTACCAGAGGCTGCCTTTAGAAAACAGAATTACTTGGAGCGGAAAGGTCTGTTGAAATGTAGTAACACGCTACTTGTCCTGGGCTTTGTTCTGGTTATTGTCTGCTCTATTCCAAACATTCAAACATGCACACTTCTATTTCATCTTAAGTGACTCTTAAAAGAGTCTTTTGTGAGAAAGTTGTAGAGTTACTATTTTCTTCAGTTTCTTGGAAGCCAACTAGAAACTGCAAGGTAGTTTTATCTAAGATGACAAAGACTAGCTTTAATCTAGAAATGCTGATGCAATTAAGCAAACAGATATTAAAAGCATTTGGAAACTTATAACTATTCCTCTCAAGGAAGATAGAGTTTTTGTTGGTTTTATTTATAGACGTACTTTTAAACTCAAAAACCATGAGAAGGAAATTTCTTGGTCATTTAGGTTAATTCATGGAGCACTGATGTAGTATTTGTATTTGTCTTGTTAATCTTAGAGCAGTGTCAGTATAAATAAGAGCATTGTTTTAAAATAACTTTTGATGATGTTTTATGAAGGAGTTTTATAACCAAGAGCATTAAATGATAAAGGTTTTTGAGTAGTATTTCTATTCTTTCATTTTTGCCACATATAAAATGAACAAATTGACTATAAGTACATAATAGCATATTAAAAATAAATGTTTTTCTGGTTTTCTCTACAGTCTGTTTTCAAGATTTGTGCTTCAATCTGTATGAGGTAGAACTGTCAAACAGACAAGGGGAAAATATAGATAAATTAACAGAATGTATTAAAAACAAACAATTGGTAAGAATCACTAATTTAAAATATTATTATGTTTTTCTTAAATTGATATGTGTGTATTGGTTGTGTCTAGATGGAATCATTTTAATTTGCTGTGAGGAGTTTCATGTTTAATATTTATTTATATATTATTGATGTAATACAGTATCTGTGGGGTTTATGTTCCAAGACCCCCAGTGGATGCCCAAAACTGTGAATAGTACTGAACCTATGTATACTGTGTTTTTTTCTATACATACATACTTATGATAAAGTTTAATTTATAAATTAGGGACAGTAAGAGATGAACAACAATAATAAAATGGAATAGTTACAACTATATACTGTAAGAAAAGTTATGTGAGTATGGACTGTCCATCTCAAAATATTTTATTTATTATACTATACTTGAGTACTACTTGTGATGAGTGAGGTAGGTGGTGCAGGCATTATGAAGTACTACTATTGGCCTACTGGGTGGGTAGCATCTACAGCATGGATACACTGGACAAAGGGATGATTCACGGCCGGGCGTGGTGGCTCACGCCTGTAATCCCAGCACTTTGGGAGACCGAGGTGGGCAGATCACGAGGTCAGGAGATCAAGACCATCCTGGCTAACATGGTGAAATCCTGTCTCTACTAAAAAATACAAAAAAATTAGCTGGGCATGGTGGCGGGCATCTGTAGTCCCAGCTACTCGGGAGGCTGAGGCAGGAGAATGGCATGAACCTGGGAGGCAGAGCTTGCAGTGAGCCTAGATCGCGCCACTGCACTCCAGCCTGGGTGACAGAGCAAGACTCCATCTCAAAAAAAAAAAAAGGATGATTCACATACTGGGTAGGAGGGGCAAGAAGCAAGGATACAAAATAGTTCCTAAAGTCTGGCATGGCAGATCACATCTATAATCCCATTACTTTGATAGGCCAAGGTGGGAGGATCACTTGAGGCCAGGAGTTTGAGACCAGTCTGGGCCACATAGCAAGACCTTATCTCTACCAAAATAAAAAAATTTAAATTTATTTTATTTTATTTTTTAAACTAGCCAGGCATAACCGCCTGCACCTGTAGTCCTGGCTACTCTGAAGGGTGAGGTGGCAGGATAGCTTCAGCCCGGGAGTTCAAGGATGCAGTGAGCTGTTGCTGTGCCACTGCATTGCAAGCTGGGTAACAGAGTGATACCCTGTCTTTCAAAGAAACAGGCTCTTAAATCATAGCTCCTGTAAGTCAAGGAGCTGAGGAGACTATGGAGGAGACAAATATGTAAATCATCATATGCCATACAACACATAGAGACTCTCATAGAATCTTTTTGAAAACTGAAAGTAGTGATTCTTTTTGTGAGTGAGATATTAGTGTCCTAACTTTATTGTAGTGTAATCATTAGAAAAGTCTGATTTTGTATATTAATTGTGATTAAATAATGATTTATATTTGTAGCCTTATCACCTCTCAGTTTTGAAATAAAATGTTTTATTCTGTAAAATAGTATATTTTGTTTAGGTGGTTTAACTGAAAAATTATTGTATAGATATTGGATTTTATCTTTTATGTGTATATAGATTTTTGAAGTGGTAAGCAGTAGAAAAGAAAAGCTATTAAATTCATGATTTAGAACAACAGCTTTTAGACAACAACTGCTGCCTGGGGACAAAACTGCCCCAGTTACTGAAAGCATTGAAATTTCAAGACTTTTTTCTTGAGCTCAAGAGTCCACTGAAGACTCTGATAGAGGGAAACAAAAGAGAGGAAGAATTTATTTTCATCTGTATTTCTTGTTGCCCTGGAACTTGATTATTTTCTATTATTTTCCATTTCTTAAGATGCTGTAGAAAGAAGTCTTTTATTGGATGGTATCTTGCGGTCTTTTTAGTTTCAGGGTTTTGGGATAATTTTCATGTAAATATGAGCTTAAGATGCTACTTATAGGTTTGATTCATCTTGAGTTTATACTGGCTACATGGTAACATATTGGCTGTTAAGTGGTATGAAATGTCAGCTGTCTCAGTGAAAAAGTAAGGCTTTTCTGATTGATCTGCCATGTTCTTGAGCACTATTGTAAAACTAACCCTTCATATTCTGGTTATTTTATATAGCCCCAACAGTGGCAAGATTATTTCAGCTAAGGAATTTGAAGTTTCTGATACTGGGGACAGAATTACCCTGACTCCCATAACATGTGCAGAATTTTTTCTTTTCTTGAGGTCAATATTCGCTAATGAGTATGGGTAGAGGGAGAAGAGAGGGATTGCAGAATATTCCTTCAGTTGAATTTTTCATTTATATTTAAGGCAATCATCAAATGCTTAGAAGATCGAGGGTTTTTCATTTTACTTACGTCATCAGCCTTACTATCAGAACCAGGTATGGACAACTGTTTTAGGAAAAAATATTTTTCATTATGTTTACTTTTGCTTTATAAGATCAACAACCTAACTTTTCTTTTTCTGATTCTCATTCTGCATAGATTTTGGAGGCAAGCAGATGGGTCTGCATGGGTTACATTTATTTCATTCACCCCTGTCAACAGGTGAGGATACAGTGGTTTCCAGTTCACTCTGTCTGTTGGATATATTTAGTCCTCATCTGACTTGACCTCTTAGCAGCACGTGACACTGTTAACTGTTTTTTCGTCTTAAATATCTCTCTTCCCTTAACATCACTGGTTCACCTTGACCTCCCTTGTAGGTTTATGCTTCCCTCTGAGCCTCAATCCCATATCTCCACTTGTCTACTGACGTTGCCACTGAGATATCTCAAAGGTGCCTTGAATTCAACGTGTCTAAAACTGAATTCATTTGTTGTTGAATTTTGCCATCGTCTCTCCAGTAAATATGTCTCAGGCTCTGGGTCTTCATAGGTGCTGTTCTCCTTATCTGTACCTTATCTATTAGTCTTTTTCATATCAAGCCCATACATTCTTATGGTGATGTTGACCCACCAGAGGACCAAACCTTGGCTCTTGGGGGCAAAAAAATACTACTCATACAGTGCATAAACAGATATGCAGTGTATATGTGGTATTAAAATTTTGGACGTCAATTTGGGGGAAAAATGGGTCTAAAAGGGCTGGGGAGGAGGATGACTGAAAAGATTGAGAAACACTAATCTAGTTTATTCTTCCTCCTATCTGTCAAGCTCGGCCTCACTATCACTTTCTTTGTTCCCATCACCACGCTTTGCTCAACTTAGACCCCTATGCTTATTTATCATCCATATAGTTTAAATATTTATTTGTATAATTATTTAATGCCTGCCCTTCTTGTATTCTGCTGTATCCCTAGTGCGTAGCAATGCCAGTCACCTATAAAACAGTAAATATTTGCTAAACAAATAAATAAATGAGAGTTGGCCAGTCACGGCAGCTCACACCTATAATCCCAGCACTCTGGGAGGCCGAGGCAGGTGGATTTCTTGAGCTCGGGAGTTCTGAGACCAGCCTAGGCAACATGGCAAGACCCCGTTTCTACAAAAAATAGAGAAAAATTAGCCAGGCGTGGTGGCTTGCTCCTGTGGTCCCATCTACTTGGGAGGCTCAGGTGGGAGGATCACTTGAGCCCGGGACGCGGAGGTTGCAGTGAGCCAAGATTGTACCACTGCCCTCCAGCCTGGGCAACAGAGTGAGACCCTGTCTCAAAAAAAAAAAAAAAAGTCACTTTGTTTTATAATCACAATGTGTGTGTTTAAACATAAAATTCTATATAGTATTTATAAAGCTATAACCAATATAAAAATGTTTTTAAAGTTTTTTTTAAAAACTCAGTTACTGGCTAGGCGTAGTGGCTCACACCTGTAATCCCAGCACTTTGGGAGGCCGAGGTGGGTGGATCACAAGGTCAGGAGATCAAGACCATCCTGGCCAACATGGTGAAACTCCGCCTCTACTAAAATACAAAAAAGTAGCTGGTTTTGGTCATGCATGCCTGTAATTCCAGCTACTCAGGAGGCTGAGGCAGGGGAATCACTTGAACCCGGGAGGCAGAGATTGCAGTGAGCTGAGATCACGCGCCCCTGCACTCCAGCCTGGCGACAGAGTGAGACTCTGTCTCAAAAAAAATTAATAATAATAATAATAATAATAAAACTAGTTACTTAAAGCAGAAAACTGTGCTTTCCTAGGCATCACTTCATTGCAACAAGCAAAGCATTACCCATGATAATAACATAATTGGCAGTGGCTGTTTGTATTTTTCAAGCATTTATCATGTCAGGTTTTGTGGTGGAAGTAGTAGATTTAGCAATCCATAAAATAAGTACTCTTATAACAATTTCAAAGATGAAGAAACTCATGGTCGAATTTGTTTATGGTCTAACAGCTAACTCCAGATCTGGCTCCTGTAAGATTTCTAATTTCTTTTCTTTTTTTTTTTTTTTTTTTTTTTTTTCAGTTGTAAACTATAAAGTTTCAGATATTTCATTAAAAGATTTTAACAAAGTGAAAGATTAAAATTCTCACATAAATATGATATGAACTTGCTAAGCGTTTGCCTATATTTGTATCAAGTGAAGAAGAAAAAGAGTGGCCAGGCATAGTGGCTCACGCCTGTAATCCCAGCACTTTGGGAGGCCAAGGCGGGCGGATCACTTGAGGCCATGAGTTGGAGAGCAGCCTGGCCAACATGGTGAAACCCCATCTCTACTAAAAATATGAAAATTAGCTGGGTGTGGTGGCATGTGTGTATAATTCCAGCTACTCAAGAGACTAAGACACAGAATTGCTTGAACCCGGGATGCGGAGGTTGCAGTGAGCTGAGATCACACCACTGCACTCAAGCCTGGGTGACAGAAGTAGACTCTGACTCAAAAAAAAAAACAACCAAAAAACAAATAACAAAAAGACCAGAGTAATAACTTTAAAACAATTTAATTTATAAAAACTTCGGGCCCGGAGTGGTGGAGGCCTGTATGAGGCAGGCAGATCTCTTGAGCCCACTCGTTCAAGACCAGCCTGAGCAACACGACAAATCCCATGTCTACAAAAAATACAAAACTTTTTATTTTGATATCTGGCCACATTTTCCTTTTTACTGTTATTTGTCCTTCATTTCCTTTTTCTGTAACTACTGTAGTGCTGATGTTTTTAACTAGAACTAACTTTGTGTTTCATTCTGAAGTTACTTTTCTTTAAAAAGAATGGTACAATTTTTATTTTCACTTACTAGGCCTTGAAGGCCATTGTTTCTTGTGGCTTTATATTACTAACAACTCAAATTTTCTAGGATTTTTTTACCCAGTTCATAGGGACCAGACCTTTTCTCTTTTTTTTCCCTTTTACTCTTTGCTTTACTTATTTGCAAAAAAAGAAAAAGTTAGCACTTCAGTCAAAGCATGGGCCAAGGAGAGGAGGTGAAACATAGACTAGTCAGTTTTAGAAGTTTTTATTTCATTTGATAGAAAAGGCGATAAAATTAGCAATAATCATTCCAGTGAGATTTCGGCATTTTTTAGGGCTTCTTTTTTCAGTTCAGTTGATTTGCACTAACTCATTAAAAGAATTTGAAGTGAGTTCAGTAAGGTAGAGCTACAGTAAGATAAATTTTAAAACAAAATAAGAAAAAGTACAAAAGCAAATCTGCCAGCTCTAAAGGCCAGTGGTACTGCTATGATGGACCATTGAGTTCATGAGCTCCTTGTTAGTGAGATGGAGCTGGAGGCAGGGTTTAGTTTACTTGTTCTAACCTAGTGGTTGCATGTCAGATGATACTTTTTCAGTTCAGTGTGTGCATGTGTGTGTGTATAATTTCAAATACACGGAGATATATTTGTTAAATGTACCTGTAAGTCTGCTATTAATTGCAATTTAGGTTGTCATTTGAAAGACTGTAACATATTTAACCATCACGTAATTTTGAAATGTAAAGCATTTTTTTCCAGAATGTTTTGTTTTTAAAAAATAAACTTCAGATGTTTAATACATGTATATATATTTTAGGAGTAAAAGATTTGAAAGTTGAAGATGACATCTCAATGAAGCTGATACCTATTTTGCCTGCCCTTAATTGTGCCCTGCTAGAAACAAAGAAATCACTTCCTGAAGAAAGAATCCATCCAAACACATTAGTAAAGCATTTCCAAGAACTGTACAAGGCAGACAGAAGCCCTTCATTGACTGTTGCTCCTCAGGATAGAATGAAAGACCCTACATTCTTGGGGAAACTGCCCAGTGGTTTTGACTTGATTCCTCCAGCTGAAAAGTGCCCTTCAGAGGCTTTATCTCAGTTGAACTCTTATTTTTCAGACCCCAGTGCTTACATTTTGGAAGTGTCTACTGCTTTGGACTTGTTAGCAGAGCATCCTCAGTCACCTTGTGTTTCAGACGGAATTTGTGATGCTGGATTTTCTTTAGTTATGACTCCAGATCCTGATTTTCCTGGCTCAGAGGCAGAAGTAAGAAAAGAAACTGAAACAAAAAAGGATTCTGAAGAAATGTTGAAAGCAAAGAAGAGAGTTGTGGTTCCATTGAGTCCAGCATCCAATCTGAGAGTGCAGCCTAAGAGGAAGGCCAGCATGCCACACGTGGTGCAGAGTAAAAAGGTGCACTTGTGCCACCCCTTTCCCAAAAGAACTGCTCCCAGAGCAGACAACAGCTCAGACTCTCCAACAACTCTTAAGTTAGTTAAAGGGCAGTTTCCTCAGAAAAGAAAAAGAGGTAAGCACGATTTATGTGGGTTATTATAATAATAGTTGTGGCCAGGCGTGGTGGCTTATGCCTGTAATCCCAGCACTTTGGGAAGCCGAGGTGGGTGGATCACCTAAGGTCAGGAGTTTGAGACCAGCCTGATCAACACGGTGAAACCCTGTCTCTACTAGAAATACAGAATTAACTGGGTGTGGTGGTGCGTGCCTGTAATCCCAGCTACTCAGAAGGCTGAGGCATAAGAATCACTTGAACCCAAGAAACAGAGGTTGCAGTGAGCCGAGATCATGCCATTGCACTCCAGCCTGGGTGACAAGAGCAAATCTCCATCTCAATAATGATAATAATAGTTGTTGTATTCAATCCCTCTTGCTGTCTTGGTCCCTGTGGACTGCAGCTTTGCAGCATCAGTTAGAATTGCCATCATTTCTCTTCAGGCAATTGTGTGCCTCCTAATGCCTGACAAGCACTGATTGAAATAGCAACTGAAAACCAAGAAATAGGAAAGACCAAGATACCTCAAAAGCCTACCCACCACTAACATGTTATGTTCCACCTTGTAAAACCACTCACACGTGTATGTTCCTTCTAAGAAAGACGACCACCTAGTTTCTGTGCCATCCTCTTCACAAATGGAGGTAGAAGAGGTTCTTCTAAAATCAAGCACATCAGTACCAGCAAACGGTGATAGCTGACAGCCTCAACACCTATAAAGAGGAGGGAAATACCTCCAAAAGTAAAGTAGTCTGGGGCAGAGTTTCTAATCCTTTATGTGTATCACAGGTTTTTACGTGAGCACCTGGATTCTTCATGTGGTTTTTATGCTCCCTGAAAATTGAGTGAGAATTGGAGTCTTGAGCCACTTAGTGTATTGGCAAATGTATTTCAGTGAACATAGCACAGCAAACCATATGACTTTGCCCTAGAGTCATCTCAAATTGTATTTTACTATTATTTCTCTAAAAGAGTAGGGAAGTATATGGGTGACCCCTTTGGAGAAGAAGGCAGCACAGTATGGCCGAGGGGCCACTCAGTTGCGCCTGTGTCATCTCTGACTGTTCTCATGCCGTGTTGGCAGAGCTGAGCAGCTGTGGCAGAAACCACGTGACCTTCAAAGCTGAAAGTATGGACTCTCTGGCCCCTCACAGAAAATGTTTGCCAAGCCAATCTGTAATATTTTGAATTTGAAAATGTTGGTGCCTAAAGAAGAAACATCTAGGATATGGTAATCCCAGGATTCTAAATAATTCAGAGTTTACCCTATGGAGGTTTTTTTGTTTGGAGTTTTCTGTTTTTGTTGAGAAACAGGTTTTCTCTGTCAGCCAGGCTGGAGTTGAGTGACATGATCATAGCTCACTGCAGTCTCGAACTCCTGGGCTCAAGTGATCTTCCTGCCTCAGCCTCTGGAGTAGTTAGGACTACAGGGGCGCCCCACTAAGTTTTTAAATTTTTTTGTAGAAATAGGGTCTTACTATGTTTCCCAGGCTAGACTTTGAACTACTGGCCTCAAGCGATACTCCTGCCTCAGCCCCCCAAAATGTTGGGATTACAGGCGTGAGCCACTGCACCCTGCCTTGGTTTTATCCTGTGGCTTCACAAATAGTGGTTTCTGGCTTATTGTGGCTTGAGGAATGGGGTGGAGATGTGTGTATTAAGGAGGGTAAGTGGAAAGTATGGTAGTATAAAGCAGTGCACCAGAGGGTACAACTCTCTGTAAAATAGATTCCAGGCCAACCATGCTGCTCTGCATGAACCAATTTAAGGTATTGAATCAATTGTCCATAACTCAACATAAATTGTCACTGTTTCTCAAATGTTTTTAATTATATCCACTGTAAGAAATACGTTTCATATTATATTCCGGTACCTACAAATTCATACATGACTGGAACAAAAATTTCAAAAAAAAAATTATGCGTAATACAGTCTGATACCTTCTGTTCTGTTTCATTTAAGAGTTCTGGGCTGGGTGCAGTGGCTCGTGCCTATATCGTAACACTTTGGGAGGCTGAGGTGGGCGGATCACTTGAGGCCAGGAGTTCAAGACCAGCTTGGCCAACATGGTGAAACCCCGTCTCTACTAAAAACACAAAAAATAGCCAGGTATGGGGGCGCTGGCCTGTAATCCCAGCTACTTGGGAGACTGAGACACGAGAATCTCTTGAACCTGGGAGGCAGAGGTTGCAGTGAACTGTATTGCACTCCAGCCTGGGTGACAGAGCAAGACTCCATCTCAAAAAAAAAAAAAAAAGAAAGAAAGAGAATGAATGAATGAATGAATTCCAGTTGTGACACACTGAATCATTGATTTTATTTTACAACCCCACCAGTGGATTAATTGCATTCAGTTTGAGAAGCATGGTACTGAGTGTTCCATGTGAACAGAACAATCACTGCAGGATCACTTTGTTTCATTTTTCTTATCTTTTTCTCCCAAGACCTGGGTGTACTTGCAAATATCTTCCCTTTCTGTTTGTACAAATATTAGAAAGTTTCCCCCTGGGTCTTGGTTGTCTAATCTTTTTCTTTTAAATTTAGTCTTAACTGTTTTCCTGATTTTTTTTTTTATTTTACTTTTCCCTATGCTGAAGATTTTAGAAAATGTAATTAGAGTGTAATAAGAAGTCTTACTCTTAAAACAATATGCTGCTTTAGTACTTATTAATGTAATAATTTGGTAGGGAGGAAAATAGTCAGACTTGAAATGTACACCATTAAGGTATTCTGAAAACATCTTTAAAACTATTCCTTTCCCTAACCCCCAAAAGAATGAAATGAAATGGGTCTCCTTTTTTCTGCTACATTTCACTAACACTCATCACAGTTTCTTAAACTGTTTAATATGATCTTTAGTGTCCTTAATGAGAAGTAGTGTCTTCTGTATAATGTAATTTAAAAATATTTGCCAACATTTATATGTGTGATTATTTCATATGATATCTTTGAGGCTAAATTTTAACTCTTAAAAGATTGAAATACTTTCTATTGTGCATTATAAGCAGGTGTTTAGTATTTCCTTTTTCTTTCCATCCACCTCCACCTTTAGCTATTTTTATACTACGTGAGAAGCAAAACAGAGCACTTCTAAGAGACATAATTGTGTAAGATAGTAGATTTGTTAGAAATAAAACCAGGTGCAAACTTTCCTCAGTCTTCCCATCTTTTAAAAGATTATTTTTCAGATGGTATTAAAATTTAGATGTTTACAAGTAGTAACGTAAAATATATAATATGGCTCTCCAAATATATAATATTGCTCTCGATACAACTCTTCTCTGCAGTGTGGTTATAGTTTTAACCACATCGCCTTATGGGAGCTGTGCTGCTTTTTGTTTAAACGTGAATATCTATATCCTGGGGCTGTGATCTAGCATATTCAGTCTGACCTGTCACATTAGTCAGCAAAGGTTATGAAGATTTTTTTTTTTTTTCTTTTGAGACAGGGTCTCACTCTTGCCCAGCCTGGAGCAGGTTGATCTCCTACTCCTCAGCTCAAGCAGTCCTCTCGTCATGGCCCCCTGACATACTGGGATTGCAAGTGTGAGCCACACTCCTAGCCCAAATATTTTTGTTTTTTTTTTTCTTTTTTTTTCAGTTGTTACAAAGTTACTACTCCGATCTTTTTCTTCTTCATCTGATAGGGATATAGGCAGACACTTAGCAAGTTCATATTATATTTATGTGAGAATGTTTAGCTTTTGCTTTGTTAAAATCTTTTAATTAAATACCTGAAACTTCATAGTTTATTCCCCATTACTAAAGTTACTGCCCCCAAAATAAAAACAAAACAGAACAAAAAATGGAAAAGCTATGCTAAGTATCTGGGCCCCTACCCCTTAAAAAAATGATGTCTTTTCTACATAAGGTGCGGAAGTGCTGACTGCACAGTTTGTACAGAAAACCAAATTGGATAGGAAAAACCAAGAAGCTCCTATTTCTAAAGATGTTCCAGTGCCAACAAATGCTAAAAGGGCAAGGAAACAAGAGAAATCTCCAGTCAAAACTGTTCCAAAGGCTAAGCCACCTGTGAAGAAATCTCCACAAAAACAAAGAGTAAATATAGTAAAAGGCAATGAGAACCCCAGAATCAGAAAGCAGCTACAACCTGGTAAGAAATACTCTTCCTATAAATTTAAACACCCCAATACAGATCTAACAGAGAGTGCAAAATAATATATTGAAATAGTGTAAGAGCAGTTGAAATGTCCCTATAATATTTTCTGTGTTTTTCAGTTCAGACATGAAAAAAAATAAGTAAACTGGTTAATGCAAATAAATTAGGAAGGTACAAAGGCTCAAACCTTCAAAAACATGAGTCTACTTTTTACTTTGCAAAAAAGCCTGAACACGAATTGTCTACAAGCATTAAAGTATAAATGGCCTTATTTATAACTAAATACAGAAGTAGTAGTATCTGGCATTATTTTTCTGGACCATTATAATTATAAGAAATTATAATATCAAGAAAAGTGTAAGTTTATCTGAAGGGAATTACAAACAGACTGTCCAGAACTGTCAGTAATGCAGAATCCTTTATTTGGTTTTATTTATTTATTTAGAGACAGGGTCACACTTTATAATCACTGCAACCTTGACCTCTTGGGCTCAAGGTATCCTCCTACCTCAGCCCCCTCAAATAGCTGGGCCTACAAGCATGCACCACCATGCTCAGCTAATTTTTTTGTATTTTTTTAATAGAGACCAGGTTTCAGCCGGGTGCGGTGGCTCACGCCTGTAATCCCAAGCACTTTGGGAGGCCAAGGTGGGGGGATCATCAGGTCAGGAGTTCCAGACCAGCCTGACCAACATGGAGAAACCCTATTTCTACTAAAAATACAAAATTAGGAGTATTGGTACATGCCTGTAATCGCAGCTACTCGGGAGGCTGAGGCAGGAGAATCTCTTGAACCTGGGAGGCGGAGGTTGTGGTTAGCTGAGGTTGCGCCACTGCACTCCAGCCTGGGCGACAGAGCAAGACTCCGTCTCAAAAAAAAAAAAAAAAAGAGAGAGACAGTGTTTCACCATGTTGCGTAGGCTGGTCTTGAACTCCTGAGCTCAAGTGATCTGCCTGCCTCGGCCTCCGAAAGTGTTAGGATTATAGGCGTGAGCTACCATGCCCGGCTGAGAATCCTGTATTTGGTTTTAAAAGGCATTAATTTTAAAAGTAGTTTTACTGATTTAACTTCGCTTAAGTGAAGAATCAAGTGTAGTCACATGAACTGCTCTAGTTTTGTATTTTCAACCTCTGGACATAACGTCTGTACTAGAAAGTTTTGTTGTCACCTTAGTGAGACACATACCAGCTTTCCTCCTGGATTTACTTTCCTTGATTTTTCTTCCCTTTGGTATTGATTCGTTTGTGGTGTGCGTGTTATTTTTTTGTTTTGTTTAACAAAGAGATTTCATTCCCTCGTATCTTTTCTATGAGTTTTCTGTCTGGTTTTCCTGATTCTACTTTCTCCCTCATCTATTACTAGATTTTAGTATCTCACAGAGAGTGAGAATTCAGAGAAAGAAAGTGGATTGTTGAGTTTTGTTTTTTTTTTTTTTAATGAAATCTTGCTCTGTCACCAGGCTGGAGCACAGTGGCACAATCTCTGCTCACTGCAACCTCTGCCCCTGGGTTCAAGCAATTCTCCTGCCTCAGCCTCCCTAGTAGCTGGGACTACAGGTGCATGCCACCACACCTGGCTAATTTTTGTATTCTTAGTAGAGATGGGGTTTCATCGTTTTAGCCAGGATAGTCTCGACCTCTTGACCTCATGATCTGCCTGCCTTGGCCTCCCAAAGTGCTGGGATTACAGGTGTGAGCCACTGCGTCCAGCCAGGTTTGTTTTGTTTGTTTGTTTGTTTTTTTAACTTAAGCATACCCTGAGATTCTTTAAGTTTTTTCAGATTGTTTTGTGACTGAAAATTTTTTTAGAAGCTCATCATGTCATTCAAAAACCCGTATGCTGCAATTTTGGCTTCCATACCAAATTTGAGCTCTTCTGCTTGTCTCTCTTGGGAGTTTGTGGTGCGGCTGCACCCCACCTCTCTGTGTTGCGGCCCTGCTGTTGCCACCATGCTCCTTCCCCTGTGGGCCATATGTGCCTCCCCCACGCATCCTTTGCCCGTCAGGGGCTCACAGCTAGAATTTATCCCCACAGGGAGGCATTTTCTCATGTTCTGACTCTCACTAATCTCTCATTTCTTTGGGATATTTGAGAACATTATATAATTTAATTCATACTATTTTCAAGTCATTTGACGTATCTTGGTCCAATCTTTCCAATTTGTAAACATTATGAGAACAGATAACATCTTGTGTTCCTAGCAGTGTCATTTGAATTCGTTGTACTGAATTGGCTTCAGATGTTTATTGACAAATTGATTAATGGGAGGAGGTATGTAATTGCATACTGGCAGAAAAGTGAGCCCAGAAAATTTAAAATTTTCAAAATGTGTGTTCAAATACAGGCTGATTTGTATTGCAAATGTCTCTATGTATTATGCAGCCACATTCCAAGTTAACATTTTTAAATGACTACGTTTAAATCTCTTAATTTTTTTCTTAAGGGCCTATGTTAATCATTTTACTTCCTATACTTGAAATATCAAAGTTTAAGAAGGTAGATGAACCATAGCCACATTGACCTCAGTTTGAAAATTACTGATTTAAATTAGAATCAAATGATAATTTTGAAGTCAAATAGTCCTTTTATTAATGAAACTTGATTTTCTGTCCTTTTTATTCACTAAACTTTTTTTTAGTGTAGTTCCTTTGGCATTGTCTTATGTATATCTTAAATAGAAATTATTGGTGGTATATTTTTTTTATTGAGAACCTGTAACACGTCAATAATTGGGTGATTTATGTGAGACTGTAATATATTAAACTACCATTTTTCTTTATTTTAATACAGTATCTTTTATATTAGGCCTTACTGATAAGTAGTGTTTTGTGTAAGGGATAAGTAGATGGCGGCCATAATAACAAAGATAGAATGAAATTAGCATCAGATCACAAAATTAATTTTATGTTTCCAGTATACCTTTGGGGCTAACAAGACAATTATCTGCTTTGGGTACTTTTCATCCACCTGTCCCTTTTGGGTTTGCTGTTTTAAATAAAAACTGGGCAGTGGTTGATTAGCTTAACCCTTTCCCCATGTATGTGCATGCTCTTGTCTTTCTAATTGGTGACATCATAGGCTGGAGCTTTCTTCTCTTTAAATGTGTTACTCATTGGCCTTGGCTGGCAGGTTGTTAACTCATTTTGGGCCTGCTACTATGATAAAGAGGAACACAGTTGGCTTTTCTGTTCATCTGTCTACCTGCAGCAGAGAATCATTGCCTAGTAGAGTTGTGAAGTTTATCCTTCATAATAACAGCATTTAGGAAGGAATAATTAATATATTGAAAATACCTAGGGAAACCACTAGCAAATGTAAATATTCTGATTAAGGGCATATGGATAGATTTGATTATCTATAAAAAGGAACATTGTCAGTAGATTTGCTCTTTCTTGGATAATGTAAAAGGGCAATGTTTTTGGTAATGAAAGTAAAAGTTTAAAAGGTAATGGAATTAGTTGATGATTCTGAATACTCTTATGACTTTTCTAATTTTTTATTTCTATCACATCATGTAATTAAAGATCAATATAGTTAAAATAATTTGAACTTAGTTTCTCTAATAAATCACTTGTTCAGGGAAATGATTCCTGAGAAAGTATGTTAGCAAACTCTAATACACACTTGAAACTTCTACATTCCTGTCCTTATTAGATTGTAAGCTCCCCAAGGGCAGGACTGTCATCTTTTTTTTGTTTTGTTTTTTTCTGTTTGTACATTTTTTGAGCTGAGCTGTATGTTGTGTGTGTAGATCAGTTCATATGTTTTTGAAAGGTAATTTCTTTCTAAATTAATGTACACATTCCTTAAGACTTGTCCCTCTGGTTTAACACATTATAATCTGAGGGTTGAAAGAGACCTTAATCTAATAGAAAATTTTAATATGCTATGTATTACAAGTTTTATCTGAGGATTGGAAGAGACCTTAATCTAATAGAAAATTTTAATATGCAATATATGTAACATAAGTTTTTCTCAAACATGTTGAGTTAACCATCATAGTAATATGGCAGAGAATTAATTCTATAACAAGCAAACATGTCTCTCTTTTTTTTTTCTTTTATACTGAAGTCAAAGGAGAAACTGCTTCAAAGCTTCAATCAGAAATTTCAAGAGATGGTCAAGAAGATGGGATTAGCATAAATAGCGTTCAACCAGAAAATACCACAGTGGCTCACAATGATCTTCCTGAAAACTCCATTGTCAACTATGACTCCCAGGCCCTAAATATGTTGGCCGATCTAGCATTAAGCTCTGCTACTTCTTCCACACCGGTATCTGAGCCTAGAAATCTTCGCTGTTCCTCTGAATTGCCACAAAATGATGTTTTGCTCTCTAAAGAAAATTCTTTGCGAGGTACATCTGACCATGAATATCACAGAGGAGTTAAAAGTCAAAAAGGCGAATTACTCCCTAACCCATCTTCTGATAGGAAGAGTAATGCTGAGTCAGACTTAATTGTTAGCCAAGATGAAGAAGGCTTGGTTCCATGTAGTCAGGCCCCTGCTAAAGCCCAGTCAGCACTTACTGAGGAAATGCTAGAATCTTCAGATGCAAGTCAAAGCTCTTCTGTTTCTGTGGAACATTCTTATGCCCTGCTCCTTAGAGAACATTCAAAGAAAAATCTACAGGAGAGAGAGATACCAAGCCCTGTGTTTCCCAAGAATGGGACAAAAAGCCCTGAAGCAGTAACCCCAGTGGGGAAAGTCATGCCATTTCGGCATCAGCCTGGTCTTTTGCTTCAGCAAAAGCCTCCTGACGAGCCCATGGTGAAGCCCAAGGATAGACAAGCGTCTTCCCGTGTGAAAAAATCTTCTTGCTCTCGTATAGTATTTAGCTGTGATGACTCCGTTAAGATCACTTTCAAATGTGAAACAGAATATGCATTCAGCTTAGATAGCAAATATACCAACAACCCACTGGAGAAAACTGTAGTAAGAGCATTACATGGGTGAGTATGAGTGAAGCTTGGTGAAAATGGATGAAATTTTTCTGTTGAGATGAATATAGTGAGATGGGGAAACTTGTGCCAAACTCTGGAGAAGGAGAAAGAAGTGTGTGTAAAACCAGAAATTTGATGATAACATCAAGCAAACATGTTTCCTGGCAATAAAGAGTAACAGGCTGGTTTTCCCCCTGTGCTCATGTGGAGAACTTTTTAAAGATAATTTTAGCCTGATGAATAGCTTTCCAATTTGCAGTGCTCCTTCGTAAGCCCTTGTGGCTTTTGAATTTCAATTTTTACATGAGATCTTAATGTAAAATAGTGTGAGATTTAGAAATAATGCTTTACAGACTGAATTCCAGAGGAAACATTTTAAAAATCACTTGTAGCTTGGTAAATTGGTCAGATTGATAGGACTAAGCAGTTTCACATAAGATTGTTCTATAGATCTCCCTCAAGAAGGAATCAAGGCAATAATAACAGAGTGGTGACCAGCACCGTCTTTGGAGTGTAGACTAACCTAGGTTTGAACCCAGGTTCTTTCCCTTTACCTCCTGTGATCCTGGGCAAGTGTCTTGCTTCTGGACAGTGCTTCTTAATTGCGTGTGCTGCTCATCTAGAGATTTCACTGAATGGCAGATTCTGATGCATTCTCCTCGGGGAGAGACCTGACATTCTGCATATCTAACAGATTTTCAGGTGATATCAATGGTGGATGACAGTCTGTCGCCAACACTTAAGTATGTAGCTGCATCCTGAGGTTACATATATTGGGATTTTTGCACAGTGGCCAGTAGTAATAATAAATGGTAACCATTACTGTTAGCAAGAAGCACTCGTTAGCTACATGAAATGACATTCAGCTCCCTATTAATGAACTATTTCACATCTGACTATATGGACTCTACAGCTGTCAGGCTTTCTTCCGTACACATGTTCATATATACTCATAAAGGTCATTTCCTTAGAACTTTCTGTTTAGCTGTTGCCCAACTCTGCAGCCCCCCTAACTTATCATACTCCGGCGATCTGCCATCCTTTTGCCTGCCAGAGGGCCAGAAATGTTTTCTGTCTCCCTTTACAGTTTCAGGATATTTTTCAGAACTATAATCTGAAAATAGTATAGTTCTGTTGAATTGCCCAGAGAGAGATTTTATCTTCAGACTTTCTCAACTATTAGAAGAGACACACAAAAATGGAAAATAAATGAATCAGCCAGACTTAGCAAATGCATGGTGATGAGGATTTGGGTATTGGTGAAACTATTTCTACAATAAGTATTTTGTGTCCAGAGTGAATTTGTATGACATAAAAGACACGTGCTACCCATGTTCAGATCATGGTTCTGCCATACAGGTTTTGTGATTTGAAGGAAGGCAATTACATGTTCTGATTCTCAGTTCCTGTCTCTGTAAAATGAGTGGGTTAGATTGATAATTATTTGTTAAGTCAACTACATATTTACTCATTCATGTTTCGTATCTGTAAATTTTAAAAATAAAAACTAAGGTTAATGTTGGAGGCACTTGCTTATGATAAGGTAGTCAACTAAAATAACCATTTTCAATGATTTTCATGTGTTCTTTCTGTAAACTCTTAGGCCCTGGAATACTGATTTGCCTGATAATGTGGAAGAAGTGAAGCTTTTACTTCATATGTGGGTAGCTCTGTTTTACAGCAATCAGAACAAAGTCATACGATCTTCCCGAAAAGTTGTAGAACACAGCAACCCAGCAAAATATGTGTCTATAAATAGCACGTTAGAATCTTGTGAGCTCAGTGAAATTGAGGAGTGCCTTGGTTTGGAAAGATGTTCTGCAGACCCTCTCTTGGAGACTAATGAAATTTCCAGGGCTCATGCTGCTGAAGTGTCCTTCCGTGATCCTAACTGCTTGCTTCCTTTCATTAAAACACCACTTACCCAAGGCTTGGAACTCTGTGTACAGAATGAACAGAAAAAAACTTCTGCAAGCAAGTGTCATCCAGACACCCTAGAAAACCAGAATTTCGTCTGTTCTTACAATAATGAGGTACGTTAAGCTGAATACTGTTAAATGTTGGCATTATTTTGGAAGAAAAAAGTTTATATGTAAAATCACATTCAAAACAAGGCATTTTTAAATTTCAGGACAGTGAATTCTCAAGGTATGTAAAGAACTATTACACCAAAAACTTAGTTTTCATGAAGTGTCCTCGAATTGTCTGCAGGTAGAGCTTACCTGCCATCCTGACTGAAAAAAAACAGAGTAGAAAAGTGTCATAGGGTCCACATGACCTGGGAGCCCACCATAATTTGAGGCAAATTGCTTATTTGCTTAATTTTTAAAAGAGGTGACTAATGCCTGTCATATGTAGAATATTGTTTAAGGATCAAATATAGCAATAATAAATATTAGACATACTTTGATAAACCTTAAAGTAAACTAAAATTACTTGTATTAAAATTATGTTTGAAGACAGATGCTGGAATAGTAAAATGCCAGACCTGTGAGAGAAGACCCATTGCAAATAACTATTTGTAAATATGGAAAATATACTTCGTTTTGTTCCATTGTTCTCAACTGACATTCAACCAGGCCAGATAATCCAGATTTTACCTGGAGCAAATCTCAAAGTTGTTAACAAAATTCTAAGCAAATGAATTGATAAAATTACCTACCTTTTAAAGCTTTCAACCCAAATTTATTCTAGAATAATATTGCTTGGGTTTGGGCAGCATCTATGATTCCTGTCTTAACAAAGAGTAGACAGTGTTCCTGTACCCGGGGTCACTGGGGACTTGGAGGTCCTTGGGTGAGCCTCACAGAACCGGTGAATATCTTCAAGTGATTGTCATCATCATGAGAATTAAAGATTTCTGAGTCACTGTGTGCCGGATATTGAGTGTTCTAAGCCCTTGACTCACATGAACTCAGTTCATTCTCAAATAAGTTAAAGACTATTAATCTCCCCATTACACAGATGACAAAACTAAAGCACAGAGAAGTAAAAAAATTGCCTAAGGTCACATAGAAAATTGTCAAGCCAAGATTCCAGTCTAGAAAACCTAAACGTTAACTATGTATGTGCTTTTTTTTTTTTCTAAAGATGGGGTTCAGCAGTTCCATCCTGTTCTCAAAGAATTACGTAAAATCCAGTTAAGAATCACCACCTTAGAATAAGAAAATATAGTTTAATCAGGGAGGTTTAGATTAAAACGTATATACATGCTAGTTTCTTATAAAATACCATTTGTTGTGGTAATATGTAATTAACTATCATCAGTACTAATTTTAGCAATGACTTTGGCAAGCCTGACTGTTCAAATCAATGATTCCTAACAATCTCCTTAGTATGTACTTACATAGGTTTTGGTTTTTTGTCATCTCGTTGAATGCTGTGCCTGTACTTGAAAGGCACACAAGTATGCTATCACACTCCCTCCACCAGTTGGCACACCGGAATGTGAAGGGGATTTTGGCATGATAGCCACTAGAAACCAAGAGCATGTTGCTGCTAGTCATGTGTTTAGTTGAGCACTCTTTCTGAATTATCAGACTTTATTTTAGAAGCATTATACTTTACCTGCAGTAAAAATATATCGAAATATAAATATATCAAGATTGTCACGATTTGCATTTCACTAAGAGTACAGTCATGGTGAGATTTAGGACTGAGGCTAAACGTTACCAGCCACATGATTGGGAGGGCCATTGAAGTTCTCAGAAGGACACTGACTATCAAGACTTTTCTAATACTTTGTTCTCTTAAAACTCTGGTGTCTCAGCCCCACGCTGCTGACTCTGACTCTGTTTTTTTGTTTTGTTTTGGGAAGAAGTCTTGACTCTCGTCTCCCAGGCTGAAACACAATGGCACTATCTTGGCTCACTGCAACCTTTGCCTCCCGGGTTCAGCTGATTCTCCTGCCTCAGCCTCCCAAGTAGCTGGGATTTCAGGCGCCTGCCACCACACCTGGCTAATTTTTGTATTTTTAGTAGAGACGGGGTTTCACCATGTTGGCCAGGCTGGTCTCGAACTCCTGACCTCAGGTGATCTGCCCACCTCGGCCTCCCAAAGTGCTGAGATTACAGGACTGAGATTTTGTTTTGTTTTGAGACGGTGTCTCTGTCGCCCAGGCTGGAATGCAGTGGTGTGATCTCCGCTCACTGCAGCCTCTGCCTTCCGGGCTCATGTGATTCTCCTGCCTCAGCCTCCCAAGTAGCTGGGACTACAGGTACGCACCACTGCGCCCAGCTAATTTTTGTATTTTTAGTAGAGACGGGGTTTCCCTATGTTGGCCAGGCTGGTCTGGAACTCCTGACCTCAGGCAATCCACCTGCCTCGGCCTCCCAAAGTGCTGGGATTACAGGCATGAGCCACTGCCCCGGCCAGAAATTGTTTTTTTGTTTGTTTTGTTTTGTTTTGTTTTGTTTTGTTTGAGACAGAATCTCATGAGGCACTGCCCCGGCCAGAAATGGGTTTGTTGGTTTGGTTTGGTTTTTTTTGAGACTGTAGCCTCTGCCTCCCGGGTTCAAGTGACTCTCTGCCTCAGCCTCCCGAGTAGCTGGGATTATAGGCGCATGCCACCACACCTGGGTAATTTTTATATTTTTAATAGAGACTAGGCTTCACCATGTTGGCCAGGCTGGTCTTAAACTTCTGGCCTAAAGTGACCCGCCTGCCACAGCCTGCCAAAGTTCTGAGATTACAGGTGTGAGAGGCCACGCCCTACCTAAGACAGAAATGTTTTTAACAAGAGATTTTGAACACAGTTCCTGATTTCCAACATGTACGCTTCAAGACATGGCAGGCAGTTTATAAGCGTGGTGTTTCCAGCATTGCAGAGGTATGATCAGTTGTATCGTTCATTTTATCATATGCTGGACAAGACCATGCTTGAGGCTTTAAATAAAACAAAAAACAAACACCAGCCTGTTTATGAGGTTATCAGAACTGTCCTGAGATGATAGCTCTGCTAATGTTTAACCTAAATCCTGCTTGCTACTGTTTAAATCAGTTTCTTTTAGTTCCGTTTATGAATGCAGACCACACTGATAAGTTTTCAATTGCCCTGTACAATAGGAGGTATTAAGATGAGAAAGAAAGTATCCCCAGTTTTACCCAAAAAAAGATAGCTAAGGGATGAGGGGCCTTTATTTACTAGAATCAACGTATTCTGAGTACAGGGGATAGTAATTAATTTACTCTGTTGCCTCATGGGAAAGTTTCAGATGATGGTGTATTTATGGTCTAATTGAAAACAGATGTTAAAAATGTTATTCTTTGCTTTTTAAAAATTATCTTTTAGGCTGGGCACGGCGGCTCACACCTGTAACCCAGCACTTTGGGAGACTGAGGTGGGTGGATCACTTGAGGTCAGGAGTTTGAGTCCAGCCTGGCCAACATGGCTAAACCTCATCTCTACTGAAAATACAAAAATTAGCTGGGTATGATGGCATGCACCTGTAATCCCAGCTACTCGGGAGGCTGAGGCGGAGAGTCACTTGAACCCGGGAGGCAGAGGTTGCAGTGAGCCGAGATCACTCCACTGTACTCCAGCCTGGGTGATAAAGCAAGACCCTGTCTTAAAAAAAATAAAAATAGCCGGGCGAGGTGGCTCAAGCCTGTAATCCCAGCACTTTGGGAGGCCGAGACGGGTGGATCACAAGGTCAGGAGATTGAGACCATCCTGGCGAACATGGTGAAACCCCGTCTCTACTAAAAAATACAAAAAAACTAGCCGGGCGAGGTGGCAGGCGCCTGTAGTCCCAGCTACTCGGGAGGCTGAGGCAGGAGAATGGTGTAAACCCGGGAGGCGGAGCTTGCAGTGAGCTGAGATCCAGCCACTGCACTCCAGCCTGGGCGACAGAGCAAGACTCCGTCTCAAAAAATAAAAAAAAAATAAAAAAAATAAAAATAAAAATAATCTAATTTATTAAAAACAGAATTGAATGCTTTTTCTCTAGTGCTACACTTCTGGATTAAGCGGTGCTAAGTAGCAAACAGGCTGCATTTAAAGTCTTAAATTGTCAGTAGTCTAGCAATTTTTCTTCCAAAAAGCTCATTTAAAAAGAGAAAAAAGCTTCAAAGTTCAGAAAGTTTTGGAGTTCTCCTCTGTGTATGGTTTTAAAGAAAACAAATCCCATTGGGGGTATTTTAAGCCTGCCTTTAGAAGAGGGATTTGCCTGATTTGTACCTTGCGATATTTTCAGCTAGAAAATTCAAAAGAACATTCACAAACTAAAATTAATTTTTATCTTTTCTGTTCTTCACATGTACATATAATTGTATAAAAAACATTTTATGTGACTGATTTTTTTTGTTTTTTTACTTTGGCCATTTCAGGTAATTGGGGAAGAAGCTAAACAAGAATCATTAGATAAACTGGAGACTTCTAATCTTGTGCTTTCTTGTATTGGAAGTACACGAACTAATGGACCCTCTGTTCCTAATGAAGAAGAAATTGTTCAGCCACTGGATAGCACAAGAGTGGCTTCTTACAGTGGCACTGTTACTCAAACCACATTCACCAGGACTTATGATGGGACTGGTAGTCAGCCAGTGATATGTCAGAGCTCTGTGTGTAGCACCCTTGAAAACAAAGTGGATGTTCCTGATTCAGCAATGCAAACAAAAACAGGTACTTTACAGGACCTTATCCAACATGGCAGCCCCATAAACAATGAATGTCACCCTTCCTTGGAAAGAAAGGATGATAATATGGAGTGTGCAATGATTAATCCAGCACCAGTTACTCTCATCTTCGAAAAAAATGCACATGTACCATTACAGACAGAAGCTGTAAATACAGCTGATGAACCTACAACCTTTAATAAGGAGTTGATTAAGCAAGTATCACCTGCTGCAAGCCTTAGACATCCTGTATCCACCTCGGAAAAGGCACAAACACAAGGCCTGAGGGACATTTCCTCTCTAGTAGTTGCAGGACAGAAAGGCTCTAAGAACCTTTGTGCCTCCTCAGTAGGTAGAGAGACACTTGATAAAGAAGTGTGTTCATTACAGAAAGAGATGCCTCTTCCAGTCTCATTACCGTCTGATAAAGCAATGGTAATGGAGGCATTATCATTAGTTAAAAGTTCTAGTTATCTATTACCAAGTGAAGAAGTGAGGTGCACTCAGAATTTCCTTTCACAGACTCAGAGTCTCCTCAGCCTGTCTTCAGAAGGGCTTGTAGAACCGACACAGGTTGAAGTGGACTCATCATCAGCCTCTACTGCCTTGGGAAAGCAGTGTTCACTTAACTGCATTTCATCAGGATGCCACACATCAGGTGACTCTTTAGAACTGAGGAAGAATGACAAGAATGGTCCAAACACTGAAAATATGAATTTTGAAGAGTTTGATTCAGTATTTATCAAACAAAGAAGGCTGTCTGTGAGTAGAGAGGTCAGCCTAGAGTTATCAGAGGAAGATTCTGACATTGACTTAGCTCTAACAATATCACCACCTACAAGTCCCAGAGAAGAAATGCCAGCTGGTGAAATAGAGCAATTTGAAGAGGCCCCATTTTCAAATTTAGAACTTCAAGATGTAGCTGAGGAAATAGGTGAACCAGAAGAGGTGGCTGTCACAGAAAGCAGAGAAGTGAATTCTGTTGACAGTGTGTCAGTATATCCCACAGTGTCAGAAGAACCAGTAGAAAATAAGGAGAGAAAGGGGGATAATTTACAACCAGTTACTGTAATACTTTCTAAAGAAAATTGCACACTTGAGATTGCAGAGGAAATTAATGTGACCTCTGATTTTCCCTTTGATTCTGTAATTGAGGAAGTATCACCAGCTTCTAGTCCTGAACCTCCAGTACCAGTTAAAGAGACACGACCATATCAGGCTGTGACTCCGTGCGTTTTAAAACTTCATGGTACACAGTGTGAGAAGAGCAACCGAATCTCCCAGCGTGTGTCAGAAGACTTAGGCATAACAGAAAAAGAAAATTTTTTTGTTGGTCCTACCCATCCAGTGGGGCAAGATAACTTTACCCAGGTACAACAAATGCAGGTCTCTGCTGAAATGCCTCTAATATTAACTGATCATCCAGGAAGAACAGGTAGACCAACCCTTCCTGGTAAAGTAACTGAGGAAATTGTCTCAAGTGAGCATGATGAGGGTTTATCTTTCTCAGGAAAGGTGCAGTGCTATGGTAGGGAGTTAAACCAGCCTGCCTCAGCTGCCGAATACACAGGTGACTTCAGTCCTTCTCCCGAAAAACTGGTAAAATCAGGAAATCCATTGCAGCCAATTAGAGTAGAAAACAGAAATTTGGACTTAAAACATCTTGTCTTGGAGTCCAGTGAACCTCCATTTAGTCCTAGAAATGTTACCGAAAATATGTCTTTGTCTGACACATTGGTTTCCACAGCTGCACCAAGTGGTGTAGTAAAACAGCAGACTAGCCCTAAAAGCAGTCGGAACAGTCTCTTTACCAGTGATTTGAAAACAGATGAAGGCATTTATCTGCAGGTGAAGTCCTTGACAACTGCCTCAGTTGATGGAGCTTATTCTACACAGGAATGCACGTGCTCAGTGGTCCCCACACTTTGTTCTTCCTCAGACAGTGCCACATTAACCCATTATGTAAGACCAATAAATGCAGAGCCAGCATTTCAGGCACAGGAAATACCAGCAGTCAGGATGGCCAGTTTGCTTAAGAATGGTGAAACTGAAGCTGAGTTACATAAAGAAATCACAGGTCTAGGCACTGCTGGCCCTCAGTCCAACACCAAATCTTCTCTAAAAGGCGAACGCAAAGCCATCCACACGCTGCAAGATGTGTCAACATGTGAAACAAAGGAGCTGTTGAATGTTGGGGTTTCCTCCCTCTGTGCTAGTCCCTACCAAAATACAGCAGACACCAGGGAAAATCTCAGTAAAGAGCCTTTGGCCTCCTTTGTTTCAGAATCCTTTGATACTTCTGTTTGTGGAATATCCACAGAGCACATAGAAATTGAGAACAGTGGGGAGGGGCTCAGGGCTCAGGCTGGTTCTGAAACCCTAGGCAGAGATACAGAGGTCAGTGGGAATTCCGACATGCACTATGAACTGCTTTCTGGAGATTCTGATCTAGACCTGCTTGGTGATTGTAGAAATCCCAAATGCGATTTGGAGGATTCTTGTACTCTAAGAGGTAGTTACACCAGGAAAAAAGAAGATGTTCCCACAGATGGCTGTGAGTCATCGTTGAACTTCCGCAACAACCAAGGGGACTGGGGCTGCTCTAGCCAGGTTCCAGGCATGGAGATGAGCCTCCCTCCCGGGCACTGGACCACTAGGGTAAAGAAAGAAGAGAAGTGTGTGCCGCCTTACGTCCAAATCCGAGATCTCCACGGGATCCTCAGGACTTACGCCAACTTCTCTGTAACAAAAGAGCTCAAAGACACCATGAGAACTTCACACAGCCTGAGGAGGCACCCGAGTTTCACTGCAAACTGTGACCTGCCCAGCTCCTGGACAAGCACTTGGCAGGTGGCAGACGACCTCACCCAGAACACTTTGGACCTGGAGTATCTGCGTTTTGCACATAAGCTAAAACAGACCATAAAGAATGGGGATTCTCAGCATTCTGCCTCCTCCGCCAGTGTCTTTCCAAAGGAGTTACCGACCCAGATGTCCATTGGTGCTTTCCCTTTGACAACAATATCTGAGGCCTCCATTCTGCATCCTGCACCTAGGAGCAGAAGCCCCCTTCTGGTAACAGTTGTGGAGTCAGATCCCAGACCACAGGGGCAGCCCAGGAGAGGCTACACAGCCAGCAATCTGGACAACTCTTCCTCTTGGAGAGAGAGGGGTAGTCATAATAGAGATCTTACAAATTCTCAAAGAAATCAGACTGTTTCATTCCACCTTAACAAACTGAAATACAACAGTACTTTGAAGGAATCTCGGAATGATATCTCACTTATTCTCAATGAGTATGCCGAATTCAACAAGGTGATGAAGAATAGCAACCAAGTCATTTTCCAAGACAAAGAGCTAAATGATGCTTCTGGAGAAGCCACTGCTCAAGTGATGTATCTGCCTTTCCCAGGACGGTCGATCTCCTTTGAAGACATAATCATAGACTTGTGCACCAATTTGCACATCAAACTAAGAAGTGTTGTGAAAGAGGCTTGTAAAAGTACCTTCCTGTTCTACCTTGTCGAAACAGAAGACAAATCATTCTTTGTAAGAACAAAGGTAAAGTGCCAGTCATGTCTTACATACTATTTTAATTGCTAATTTTAGTTTTAGAAATAATAAATTTAGCATATTACCCATCAAAAAGAAATCATGGTATGACATAGGATTTAAATTTCATAGCTTAGTCTTTATCAGCATACTAAATGTTTTCCTGCAGGATCTGCCATTTGTACTATATTTGAAAATTAGTATTATGTTCCAGAATTAGGGCAGTGACTTTTTTTCACAAAAAGTTACCAGTGTACACATGCCCGTACTTCAAATGTAAATACAAACACATTCCAGTGTTAAAATACAGATTTTTCTAAAAGTATTATTACCTGTGTTCCTCCATTAGTGTAGATTGTCAAGTAGGACCTCTTCTGGTTTTGGATGTATTTTTCTTTTAATTTAAATGTTAGGATAACTGATGTTATGATGAGTACATGGAGTAATATAGTCCTTAAATTTAAGTAATGGAACCATGGTGAAATTCTGGCATGGGCGGAGCCAGAACCTGTCTTGATTCACCATTAACTTCATTGTTTTATCCTTCCAGAATTTACTTCTCTTCTATTTTGGGTATGGACAACATTTTTTAAAATTTATTGTTTTTAATTTCAAATTTACATAAAGGTTGCAGAAATAGTACTCTTTACCGAGATACCCCAATGTTAACATTTCTGAACCAGTTGCAAATGTGTTGCACACACAGTGTCCCATTACCTCTTGATACTTAAATGTATATTACCTAAGTTCAAGGATATTCATCTTTTTAACCACCGAACAACCCTATACATCAGGAAGTTAATATAATATTAATTAATGTGACCATCTCCACTAACCTCATCTAGGTCCAGGATCATAGGTGTCTAGAATTGTCATGTCTTCAGTCTGCAAGAGTTCCTCTATTATTCCTTATCTTTTATGACCTTAACAGTTTTAAAGATTGTAGGCCAGTTATTTGGTAGAATTTCCTTCCATTTGTGTTCATGTGTTGTTTCTCTATGACTTAGGCTTTTTAGGTGAAAATACTCAGATATCATGTGCTGCTCTTCTCAGTGCATTCATTGTATCAGGAGGCACCAATGGATTGATCCCCTTACTGGTATATTAACCTTTTCACTTGGTTAAGATGATTTCTACCAGGTTTCTCCAATGTAAAGTTATGTTGAACTTAGTAATAAGTTGGAAGATACTTGAGACTATATAAAATCCTATGCTTTATCAGACTTTTATCCACTAGATTTAACATCAACTGGTGATTATCTGAATCAGTTATTACTATGATGATTGCCAAATAGTGATACTGAAATTCCATCAGATTCCTTCTGCATTTCTTAGTTGGCATTCTGCTGTAGAATAGAGCTTTCCCTTATTTTCCATTTATCTATTCATTCGCTTATCTGTGTCACTATGGACCATGGCACATTTTGTTTTACTTAAAGGGTTATCATCTGTTTCTTCATTATTTTAATACTTAGATTGTCCCAGACCCAGCCAGTGGGAGTCCCTTTAAGTTGGCTTCTGTGTCCTTTTGACAATTCGCCATAATTCTTTGGGCACTTCTTTACTTTGGGGTGTAACGTAATGTTCCAGGCTTATCTTGTATTTTCCTTTCCCTTACTTTGAAGTCAAGCATTTCTCCAAGGAGCTGTGACTCTTTAGTGAAGAGTGGCATTTAGGATCACCATCTAGGCACTGGGTGAATGAACTCAGTGCCACTTGGTGTCTTTGCTTCTAGGTCCTCTCAGCACATAAAGCCAATAAATGTACATATGTACATACATATATCTACATCTCTATTTACGTATAAAAAGCAAAAACAGAGGAGTTCACACTCATCCCCAATTCTAGTCTAGTACTGCCAGGTTTGTGCTAGCCTTCTCCATGTGTGGAACTCCCTTCTCTGAGGTTGACTGTTTATCCTCAGTGTTTTCACTTATTATCCCTCCCAAGTCCCCCTCCCCGATCCTCCTCCCAACCCCAGGTATAATGAGACGCCACACTGAGGCACTAACCCTGACCTCCCCAAACTCTCTGACCTGAGGAGCCAGCTGCCCTCCCCCACCCTTGCAGCAGAAAGCTCCATTCAGATGCCAGCAGTCCTGTTTAGTATCTACCCCAGAGCCCCAGCGTGTCCAGGTGGGGCGGGGGGGATGTTGCTTTTTTGGCATGATTCTTACAGTCTAATGGGACAGGAAAACACTGATTCTTTAAGAGAGTAACACAAATAAGTGTAAAATGAAAGTGATGGTAAATGTGACGCAGGTGCCACGAGGACACATTGAGCGTGGTTGGCCTGGCCGGGGAGGTCTTTCCTCAGGAAGTGCTGCAGCACAAGAAGCAGAGCATTAGGGGTCTGCAGGCCATGTGCAGAACTGGACATGCCGTACGTCGGTTCCACATGCCTGCTAGGTCTGTCTTAGACTTCACTTACATCACTTCTGCTGATTTCCTGTGCTAACTCCCGATTGCCACATGGCGAGTCCATGGGTGCTGGATTACTGAGTAACGAGTTACTTAGTAATGAGGGACATGTGTCCCTCATTGTTACAATGTCCCTGGGTGCAGGGTCACAAGACCACTTCTGACCTGGAGTACAGAGGCCACTGCCGAAACCACAGAGCTGCATAAAGATTTCTTGGTCTGCCTAGCTTTTCTTATATGGAGGTGTGTAGCTGGCAAACAGGGAACAGCCTCCTGGTGCTGGAGGGCTGGTCAGAGCGAATGAGCCATGTCAGCCAGAGGCTCGGGCTGGGCTGTGGGAGAGAACAGCCTCATGCCTCATGTGGCAGTGGCAGGGCCTTGAGTCACACTGAGCCATTTAGACTTCATCCTGAGGTCGCTGGGAGCCACTGGAAAGGTTCTGTTGGGTTTTTCCCCACTAACCACTAGACTACCAGAGATAAAGTTTTCTAAAAAATCTTTTTAAAGGTTTTTTTTTCCAAGTGAAGCAGTCGGAGTAGGGATTTTTACAAATCTTTAAAAACTGGTTGTGATTCGTTGTAAAAGATCTTTCAAACAAGTAGCATCATATTTGCATTTTAGCGCTATATCTTAGCAGATGGAGAACAGATTGGAAAAATGATAGTCACTGCCTTAACGTGAAACTCCACTGTTGCTAGAGTCAGCAACACTGTTCTTCTGCAAGATGGCTCGTATTTTGAGTCAACTAAATATTACTGGAAATGGTTTTTTTCAAATGTGTGGAATCTGCTCTTTAACCTAATTGTATTTTTCCCCGGCCGAGGATCCTTTTGTTTGCCAAGGTTTTTTTGTTTTTTGTTTTGTTTTGTTTTGTTTTGGTTTTGAGACGGAGTCTCGCTCTGTCACCCAGGCTGGAGTGCAGTGGCGCGATCTCAGCTCACTGCAAGCTCCACCTCCCACGTTCACACCATTCTCCTGCCTCAGCCTCCTGAGCAGCTGGGACTATAGGCGCCCGCCACCATGCCCAGCTAATTTTTTGTATTTTTTAGTAGAGACGGGGTTTCACCGTGGTCTCCATCTCCTGACCTCGTGATCTGCCTACTTCAGCCTCCCAGAGTGCTGGGATTACAGGTGTGAGCCACCAAACCTGGCCTGTTTGCCAAGGTTCTTAATGAATGGTTGCTGGATTTGGTTTTATATTCCCTCTATTGTCTTTGCTCCAAGTTCCTTGCCATTTCGGTAAGCAGCACTGTAGTTGAAAAGATACTGAATGGTCTTCACTCTCTTCAGTCTTTCTGTAGGCCCTCAGCCTCCAAAAGCAATCTGGAAATCAGTTTAGTTTTTTTATTTTACCTTGAATTAAGGTTAATTTTATTTGATTAATTATACATCCTATACCCTGACATGAGCTAGAGTGACTCTAGAATCAACCAAGTTAGCATCATGGTCATGTACATGTTTTGGCACAGTGAGCAAAATACTTGGTTTCTTTTAGCTTCCATCTTCTCAAAAAGCAACAGAGGGTGCAGTGACTCACGCCTGTCATCCCAGCACTTGGGAAGCTGAGGCAGGTGGATCACCTGAGGTCAGGAGTTAGAGACCAGCCTGGCCAACATAGTGAAACCCTGTCTCTACTAAAAATACAAAAATTAGCCGGGTGTGGCAGTGTGTGCTTGTGGTACTCAGGAGGCTAAGGCAGGAGAATCACTTGAACCCAGGATGTAGAGGTTAATAGTAAGCCACTGTGCTCCAGCCTGCCCGACAGAGCGAGACTCCACAACAGAGCAGTAATCTTAGTTCTCACTTCCTTTCCAGATGAAGTGATACAATTTTCATGAAGAAGAGAGTATAGCAATGCTAAAGTTTTATTCATAGCAGGAGTTTTTTTGTTTGTTTTTTTCTGAGACGAAGTTTTGCTCTTGTTGACCAGGCTGGAGTACAGTGGCGTGATCTCGGCTCACTGCAGCCTCCGCCTTCTGGTTTCAAGCAATTCTCCTGCCTCAGCCTCCCAAATAACTGGGATTGCAGGCGCATGCCACCACGCCTGGCTAATTTTTGTATTTTTAGAAGAGATGGGGTTTCACCATGTTGGCCAGGCTGGTCTCAAACTCCATAGCAGGAGTACTTCTAGATCCATAATATTTTATCACGTGGTATCACTGTTTACAACAGAAAATAAATGTGCAAAGGTAAAACTACTTGTCAACTGAGAAAGTGGACACATTCCAAAATAAACTTGAGAGTAATGTACTATAAAGAGCAAAATGTTATTTTATATGTAAATTTTTTAATTTAATAGAGGTGGAGTGTCACTATTATGTTGCCCAGGCTGGTCTTGAACTCCTGGCCTCAAGCAGTCCTCCCACCTTGACATCCCAAAGTGCAGGGATTGCAGGCATGAGCCACCAGGCCTGGCTCAAAATGTTTTTAAAAGCTCAGAAACATATCTTGGATAATCCTTTTGTCCTGGAGAATCTTGAAGCATTAATTAGTAATGGGATGTTAGGCCCACTAGGGCATGTCTGAAAGACCCTTCCTTACTGTTGAAATCTGAGGGTGTGACAGAATAACTCAGACCACCACAGGATTTGATGAAAATGTATTCATTCACATAATTTGTTAGTCAGATAAATGAAGACTAGAGATTTATGCTTAGATATTTTAGTAAGCTCTTCGTTAAATCTCATAATTTTTTTGAAAATCATACCATATATTTTGAATGAATTGAAATAGCCAAAATTTGAGTTGTTTAAAGATCCAAGGGAGCCGCACAGTGGCTCACACTTGTAATCCCAGCACTTTGGGAGGCCAAGGCAGGTAGATCACTTGAAGTCAGGAGTTCGAGACCAGCCTGGCCTACATGGTGAAACCCTTTCTCTACTAAAAATGACAAAAATAAGCCAGGCATGGTGGTGGGCACCTGTAATCCCAGCTACTTGGGAGGCTTAGGGAGGTGAATCACTTGAACCCAGGAGGCGGAGGTTGCAGTGAGCCGAGATCTCACCACTGCACTCCAGCCTGGGTGACAGAGTGAGACAACATCTCAAAAAAAAAAGATCCAAGGGAAACAGATCAAAGTAACACTTCACTTTTATGAAGGAAATAAATGATGGTCAGACAGTCTTCTAGGAATAACAGAAACCCAGAATCCTTCAGCCAGGTAGTCAATGTCAAGGCCAGGTGCAGCGGTTCATGCCTGGAATCCTAGCACTTTGGGAGACTGAGGTAAGAGGACTGCTTGAGGCCAGCCTGAGCAACATAGACCTCCATTTCTAGCAAAAAAAAAAAAAAAAAAAAGCCAGGCCCAGTGGTGTGCACCTGTAGCCCTAGCTACCGGGGAGGCTGAGGTAGGTGGATTGCTTGAGCCCAGGAGGTCAAAGCTGCAATGAGCTATGTTTGTTTCACTTTACTGCAGCCTGGGTGACAGAGTGAGACTATGTCTCAAAAAGAAAAAAAAAAAAGAAATAGTCAAAGGGAGGGTAGGGTTACAGAATTTACTCAATTAACACAAACTTACCCTCCCAGGCAGGATTATTAGGGAGCCATTCTGTGTGTTTATTGTACTGGACTGCACTGCAGTGGCACCGTACAGTTGCATGCTGTTTAAACTGCATCACCTATCTTATACTAAGACGTAGATCCAAGGGACTGTTGACTCCAAAATCAGTCCCCATTAATGGTGAAGAAATACATGGGTATTATGGGTATTGTTTTTTAAACTCTAGAAATGTTTCAACTAGAGGTAGCATTTTTAAAGTATATATCTGGTATTCTCAAGGTAGCTGAAACCTTGAAGATTAAACTCATTTATGTAGATTATTCTGATGTTCTAAAATAAAATCAGCCTTTGATACTTTACCTTTGAAATCAACTTCTAAATCCGGTTGTTAACAAAACCTGAGTCATTTATTTTATATATAAAAGGTGCTTATTTAGTAATAAGACAAATGTCATTTCTGGTTGCCTTGTTAGGCTATAATGCTTTTCATTATTTTAATAAACGATACAGGTAGTTCTGTGGAAGTATCCTTTTTTTAGTAATGGCTATTTGTAAATCTTTCAGAACCTTCTGAGGAAAGGAGGCCATACAGAAATTGAACCTCAGCACTTCTGTCAAGCTTTCCACAGAGAGGATGATACACTAATCATCATCATCAGAAATGAAGATATATCATCACATTTGCATCAGGTAGGTTGGAAATACCTTTCTTACAAAGAAATGTATTCCAGGCACATAAGTTGTTCTGTAATGATCAGACTTACCACTCTTTTTTTTTGTGTAGAAGAGAAGCTAACAGACATGTTGGGCCTTTAAGTGGGAAGATAGTGTATCACAGAATACTGCAATATTACCAAGTTGTTTATAGGGCAGATAGTTTAAAAAAAACACACACATTAACTAAAGGAGACTTAGGTGTGAGATGGCTACATTTTTTCATCCAAAATATAAATCTGCATCACTTGATGTCTAACAATAAGAAATCTTGCCTTAAAAGACCTTTTGGAAATTTTCTGAACCATTATATTTACCAGCTAGTTGAATCAAAGTCATTGCTTGTCTCAGGAAGACCCAACTGTGGACAAAGGCTGGGTGCATCAACCTGCCGTTGTCAGCAGGCAGCCATCAGTGCTGGCACCGAGGGGAGCTGGCGACGGAGGTGAAGTGAGGTGACCTGACTGGTTCCTTTTCAGTGCCTGCAACCTCAGATGTGCTCTCTTCCCTCATGATGTATTATTTCCAACCTTTGGTAGTTTGAGACCTTTTTTTAATGAACTAATTTTGATGAGTTTGCAGTCCCTGGTGATGATGAGCTCAGTTAATATGCCTCGTGCAGGGCAGAATGACCAGTCGGTAATCCAGGTTAAAATATTTTCAGCGGGCCGGGCGCGGTGGCTCAAGCCTGTAATCCCAGCACTTTGGGAGGCCGAGACGGGCGGATCACGAGGTCAGGAGATCGAGACCATCCTGGCTAACACGGTGAAACCCCGTCTCTACTAAAAAATACAAAAAACTAGCCGGGCGTGGTGGCGGCGCCTGTAGTCCCAGCTACTCGGGAGGCTGAGGCAGGAGAATGGCGTAAACCCGGGAGGCGGAGCTTGCAGTGAGCTGAGATCCGGCCACTGCACTCCAGCCTGGGCGACAGAGCCAGACTCCGTCTCAAAAAAAAAAAAAAAAAAAAAATATTTTCAGCGGCTCCTGAACCTTGACTCTCTTGGATAAAAAAGCAAGGGAGTGTCTAAGAAAATATGCCCAGTGAGCCTCTCTTCACGGGGGTCCTTTTCGTGTCATGCAGATTCCTTCTTTGCTGAAGCTGAAGCATTTCCCCAGTGTCATCTTTGCTGGAGTAGACAGCCCTGGAGATGTTCTTGATCACACCTACCAAGAACTGTTTCGTGCAGGAGGCTTTGTGATAACAGATGACAAGATATTAGAAGCCGTAACATTAGGTTGGTCTTTATTTTCTTTTCCTGTTTCTTTGAAGTCAGATCAGCTTCTCACCCAGTGACCTAAATACTGTTTCATCCAAAACAAATGATCAGCTCTAAAGAATATCAGTTGCCCCCTACTGAGGGCATAATTTCTGCTGTCTGCTGTGCTATTTTCATACAGTAATTCTCTTATAGCAATGCTTTTAACCTCTTTTAACTGATTGTTACCACCACACTTGCTTCTGAGTTCCCTCCCTCTCAGTAGTGCAGCTAAAATCAGGATTTTATTATATTTAGTCCTTTCACTTGCCAAGTCAGAGCAACTCTATATTAAATTTTTTGCTTAAAATCAACCTTCATTTCTGATGTCATCACCCCTACCATCTTGATGTCACAAAAATCTAAAAAATGGCTACTAAGCTTATTTAATCATCTACTTGAAAACTCATACTTTACTTCTCTCAGGGCACTTTTATGCTAAAACCTGTGAACCTGCCTCGACTGTGATCGCATTGGAAGTGATACCACTTCTAGATCAAAGGCAGCATGTACCTTAACCAGCGTGACTTCTACACAGAAATTGGGATTTTAAATATTTGTAGGCACACGTCCGTAATCCCAACACCTTGGGAGGCCAAGACAGGAGTATCCTTTGAGCTCAGGAGTTCAAGATCAGCCTGGGCAACACAGTGAGATCCCATCTCTACAAAAAAATAAAAATACTAGCCAGCTGTGATGTGGTGGTGTGTAGTCCCAGCTAAGGAGGCTAAGGATGGAGGATTACTTGAGCCCAGGAGGTTGAGGCTGTAGTACGCTGAGATCGTGCCACCACACTTCAGCCTGGGTGACAGCTGAAATCCTGTCTCAAAAAAAAAAAAAAGATTCTGTATTTAGAAACTTTTGCCTCCCATTTTTCTACTGCAACTGGGCCTCCTGCTTCTCTTCTGTCACACAATTTGTACACAGAACTCTAGTTGCTGGTGACCACTCCACTGTGTTCGTGTCTACACAGTTACCTCCCACCATAGTGTGAGCAGGTGGGACCAGGCTGAGGGGCTTGTGAGAGCAGAATGCTGCCCAACCACATAAGCGACAGTGATGGTGTGTAGTCTTAGTCCTTTTCTTGTTTTACAAATCATCATCACTGGGCTTGGCATGAGCCAAAAGCAACCTTAAAGTTGTCATCATCTCTTGCTGAGTTTATTCTGTTTTGTAGTCCAACTGAAGGAAATTATCAAAATCCTGGAAAAACTAAATGGAAATGGAAAATGGAAGTGGTTGCTTCACTACAGGGAAAATAAAAAGCTAAAAGAAGATGAAAGGTAAGGACTTGCTGTGTGTATGGTTCCTCCTGCCCCGCTGGGGAAGGGGAGAAACACCTCGTGTTCCATGGGCTCCAGCGTAGTGCTGCAGTGGAATGGCCTTCATCAATAAAGAGGATGAGGGCTGCTGGCTCTGTATTCCATGAAGGAAGCTATGTGCTGTGACCGTAGCCAACAGTATGAGGCATGTATTTATCTAGACTAACAGAAGTAAGGGAGTCAAACTTAGCAGTCATGAAATGCCCATATTGTATTTAAGCCCTACTACTACAAACTGTAAAAAATATATGGAACTTGTACCATTAATGCTTTTTTGGATACTTACAAGTTACCACCGTTTTAAGGAGAATGGAAAAATTAAGACCATAATAATATCCTTAATTCAATTGTACCCTAAAATAAGAGGCTTATAAATGTACAAACTTTACTAAATCTAAAGCCGTAATTTGTAAAAGGAAAAAATCCTTGGCTGAAGAGAGCTGGGGCTGAGAGATGCCTCCACATTCTCACAAGCAGGACCAATTGGAAAAGCAGACCTGACAAGTGCTTGTGAAATGAAGATCGCAGGCGCTGTTAGGTGCGTCCGTGATCTCATTCGGACTTCATCCCAGGAGCTAGATAGCAAATCATTGCTTTCATAATGCAGAATTGAAGCAGAGTAGATAACACAAATGACCAAGGTGAAGCAAGTACTAAGTTTTGAAGCTGGGTTTCAATCTCAGAAAGATGAAACGACTTGTTAGCTGCATGTGACCTTTAAGGAACAGAATCTCAGAAAGCTTTTCTCTTGGAGTGGAGCTAGCGAAGGAGAGAAGGAGCACAGGTTTCCTTGGCAGGAAAGGAGGGTGCAAAGGCTTCAGCAGGTCAAGGTATAACCAGTTCACAATGGACTTCAATAACCAGCACTTCAGGGGAAAAAACGTCAACTTTGGTAAGTAGATCACATTTAAGGTTCTGACATACCACAGCACACCTATAATAATAAGCATAAATTAATCTAGCACTTCTAGGGCTTTGGGTAGAGAGAGTCATGTCACTTTACGATGGGGATACAGCCTGAGAAATGTCATTAGACGATTTTGTCTATGTGCAGACATAGAGTGTACCTACACAAACTTACATGGTAGAGCCTACTCCTAGACTGCAGACCTGTACATGTGACTGTACTGAGTACTTGTAGGCAGATTTAATTCAATGGTGGTATTTGTGTGTCTAAACACAAAAACGGTTCAATAAATTACAGTGTTATAATTTTATGGGACCCCCATTGTATATGTGGTCTGTCATTGACTGAAACATCATTTTGTGGTACATGACTGTACTCACTGCTCTTGGTACTGCAGTGTGCTCTTCAAATTATACCACTCTGGCATTATGTAACAGGCATGATGTATTATTGAGAACTCATCAGAAAACTCTTCATATCCTTTGACCTTTTGTGGAATTTACCCAAAATTCTTATTGCAAAATCAACCTCAGTTCCATCTCTAGGAGGGAGATATGCAGACTACAATTAAATATTTTAAACTTTATACAAAATATTGCCCACCCAAAACTTACACAATAGAAGTAAAAAGTTTCTATTCATAGAAAGAAAGATGGCATAAAAGTTGGTGTCATATAACTATGTTCAGTATGATGTCATAAAAAATGTATACAGGAGAAAGTGAAAGGAAATTGGTTCATGATGTTAAGAGTGATTATCACTCGGGTTATGGGAATGGGTGTGATTTGGGTTTTCTCCAACAAGCGAGAGAACGTAAGTGATGAGACTAGAGAGATGGAGTCAAAAGCAGAGACAGAGATGTTAAAAATTTAAACATGCTGAATTAACACATTTTCCTAGTAGTGACAGAATTTTCAGGGAGGCAAGAAACCAAGAAAATTCTGGCTGCTACCTAATTTTAATGAAGTTGGTGATTAACCCGCAAGGTATGAGAAGCATACATGTGCATTGCTCTACAAATATACAATGCAATAAGGCCCACTCGAAATTCATGAAAGGCTTGCCAAGCCACATGGCTTGATTGGTCATAGAATGAGGCCTATGTTTAAAATCCACATTTACAAAAGGAGTAGGTACAGTTGTATGTTTTGAGGCAACCAAAGTGTGTCATGAAAAAGAACATCAAGAAAGGCAGAGGATCTCATAAGTTTGAATGGTTAAACTGAAGGCAAGAAAAAGTCCTAAGAATAAAACTGAAAATGAATATTTTAATATGCCTATGTATCTTTCAGAGTCGATTCAACTGCACATAAAAAGAACATAATGTTGAAGTCATTTCAGAGTGCAAATATCATTGAATTGCTTCATTATCACCAGTGTGACTCTCGATCATCAACAAAAGCAGAAATTTTGAAATGTTTGCTAAACCTGCAAATTCAGCATATTGAAGCCAGGTTTGCTGTCTTCCTAACAGGTAATTCACAGGCCCATTTTACTCAGTTAATGCCAAAATTGGTCAGCTCTAGGAATGTCCAAGTTGAGCCATTTAGATACCTGACCATTTAGATACCTGACGAATAGTATCAGGTATTTAAATGGCTTGGCATCCCATGGATACCAGAATCACCCAAATCTGCTGATGCTGAAGCCCTTATATAAAATGTAGTATTTACAGGTTAACTCCACAATCCTCCTATATATGTAAATCAGCTCTAGATTACTTACAATACTCAATACAGTGTAAATAGTTATACCTGTATTATTTTTTAAATAAATACTGGGGCTGGGCGCAGTGGCTCACACCTGTAATCCCAGCACTTTGGGAGGCAGGTGGATCACTTGAGGTCAGGAGTAAGAGACCAGCCTAACCAACATGGTGAAACCCCATCTCTACTAAAAATATAAAAATTAGCCGGGTGTGGTGGTTCATGCCAGTAGTCCCAGGTGCTTGGGAGGCTGAGGCAGGAGAATGGCTTGAACCCCAGAGGTGGAGGTTGCTCTTAAAAAATTTGTGGGGCAGCCAGGCACAATGGCTCACACCTGTAATGCCAGCACTTTGGGAGGCCCAGGCAGGTGGATCACTGAGCCCAGGAATTTGAGGCCAGCTTGGGCAACTTAGCGAGACCTCATCTCTACAAAAATTGGGAGGTGTGGTGATGTGTGCCTATAGCCCCAGCTACTCAGGGGGTTAAGGCAGAAGGATTGCTCGAGCCTGGGAGCTCAAGGCTACAGTGAGCCATCATCACACCACTGCACTCTAGCCTGGGCGGCAGAACAAGACCCTATCTTAAAAAAAATAAATAAATAAAAGTGTTCAGAAAAATTTACGTAAAGAACCATAGTTATCATTTTTCAGAGATTTTCTTCAGTATTTTCCCCACCACCCCTGATGGAGGCATCTATTCCCAAAGCTTCAAATCTTTTCTTAGCTTGGAACCCAACACCTTTTCTCTCCCTACCTGCCACACGAGGAAGTTCCACAGATTTTTTTAAATAAAAAAACCAGGTCCTGCTATGTAAAAGTACATTAATTAACTGAAAGTTTTGTTTTGTTTTGTTGTTGTTGTTTTTACAGACAAGCCTACTATCCCCAGAGAAATCTTTGAAAATAGTGGAATCCTTGTTACAGATGTAAATAACTTTATAGAAAACATAGAAAAAGTAGCAGCTCCATTTAGGACTAGCTATTGGTAAGAACACTTTTTAATGTAACTTTCCCATGTGAGTTGGAGCTGTTGATGGTAAATACTGACATTTGTGTCTAAGGGAAACTTGTTTACATATTTCATGCTATAAATTTAAAGTGTTTAGGGATGGAATTGCTATTTGGCATAAATAGGAATTCCTAAATGAAGAAACCATATACTAAAATTACCCATTTTATCTGATGTGCATTTTCACTTGCTGTTAACTTGGATTGCCAGTACGGAACATAATGTAACCTTAGAGTGCATAGGAGTTTTCCCCGTTAGAGCATCTCACTTTTGAAATATACTTGTTCATATTATTTTAAGAAGTTCTTATCAATTTTGTGTTTCTTCAGGTGACTCAACTACAGCCTGCCTGGATATGGATGATGCCAATAGAAAATTAGTATTTTCCCTTTGGAAAACTTGTGAACATGTGAATACACATGTGAACGTCTTATATTTGAAAAAATCAATGTTCTACAACCTGGAAAGTTTTCATTTTCTGTATTTTGCTGAAATATGTCACAGTGGCATTGTAGTTGTCTGTTATCTTTGGGTTGCAGTGCTAGATACTGTTTTAAATTATTTTCATTTTAAACAAGATGCCTTCTAAGCTATTGAGCTTAATATTAAAAATAAGAATTCTACAACATGTTTACTTAGTTGGAGCAAAAATAAGTCTATTTTAACAAATAGCTTTGTTTTTGCATGCCTAATGTCAGAAAGGCCCATGATGCACATTATGCTCTGTTTTAAAGGTTTTACCATCCTTGTAAAAACTATAATCTTAAATGGTTTTATTTGCTGTTATACAAACAACACTACATAAACTTAAAACATTTTTTCCTAAATGGTACAAATTTATAAACTATCATTTTTCACTTACGGTATCTGTAAATACTACACTACAAAAATCAGCTTTCTGAGAAAGAAATAATCATTTATTTATGATATTGAAAATTTCTACAGTAAAAACTCAAAACCACGCAAAAAACATTTGTAAGATACATGGTATCTATTTGGAGCAAAGGCTTTTTTGTAACTAATTTGTTTCCTTTTTTAAATAAAGAGAACTAAAAATCATCTCTTTCTGCAATGATTTTTATAGCAGAAATTGACTCATCTGGAGTGCTCTAGCAATTTTTAGGCCACTTAGCAGAACAGTAAGCTTCCACAGGAAACCTACACTTCTGTCCTTTGGGCCTGGCCTGTTCTGTTCTGTTTCTGGGTTCTTTCCCTCCCAAAGTCAAGTACACTGAGTAACAGGTTAAAGAATGGCAATTTCACCTGGCCTTTACAGGGAAGCTTCTTTCAGAAGTCATTAAGTCGGTTTTTATTATTCCTAAACAAAAGAGCTTTATTTTCTCCTGAGTAGGTTTTAGAGTTTTAATTGTTGACAGTTTTTCAGTTACTAATAGAACCGCAATCATTTCATTTCATTTTTCCAAGGACAGGAATCTATTAAGGGAACCATTAACTATTCAGTACAGTGAATTACTGCCAAATTACTAAGGAAAAGGAAAGTGAGCAGTTATAAGCTGCCAAACACCTATCTGCCTGAAATACGCACCTTTCAGGTTGGACCTAGTAACACTCACCTCCCCTTGCTGAAAAGCTTTCCAACACCCACGAGGCCATCTTTCTCAGTTTCCATGCTACGTTTTCTGCAACTCTACTAATAACCAAACCATATCATGTGTTAGCCAAACTGAGTCATCCCAGTAACTACTATTATCATCTTTGTCTCCACTGGCCTGGCACACAAGGTATTCAGTAAATACGCTGAATGAAGAATATGAAGATGTGTTTTTTCCTTTTCACTTATTACTAACCCAACTTGGGCCTTTGCCTGCATGGGAAGAGAAAAAGTCTTGCTGGAACTAGATAATTTTATCATACATGTAAAGCAGTGGTTTTCAACAACATCTGGAGACATTTTCGGTTTTCATTCCAGGATGGTGCTATTGGCATCTAGTGTGTGGAGGCCAGGGATGCTGCTACAATCAATTCTACAATGCTAAGGCTGGTCCCTTCAGCAGAGAATGATCCAGCGCAAAACATCAGCTGTGGGAAGTCAAGAAGCTCTACCATTTTGGCAATCTAAACAATCTACATCACCACCCTAGTTCCTTTAACACATCATCTACCTTAGTCTGTGTCCTTCATACTCTGAACAGTCTTTATCTGTGGTAAACAACAGCATCTGCAGTGAGGCTCATCACTGTCAGGGGAAAAGGCCTTATGTGTAAACACTTCATCATTTCAATTACACGAAAACTATTAGAGCACCTATTCTACCTGACAATTCACTTACTCCCTTACAATTGCTGCTATAAGCAAAATGATTGAACACTGTATTTTTTCTGCATAAAGATTATCAGTCTAGTAATTGTGTTGAGTCAAGAATAAAATGAGGTCTACTCACAGGGAAGCCAGATGACAGGAGCTGCTGTGATCCATCCAGATCAGAAGACACCCACGCTTTCCACTGCTGAGCACCTTCTGACTGGCATTGACTCCAGTGCTACTAAAGGAAGCACAGCAGCTGTGACCCTTGCAATCAGGACACACAGACCAACACTGGGCAGTAGTTTCCACAATTTGGTTTTATTTTGCAGTACAGAAATCATTTGGAGCCATTTTGAGACAGAAGTAGAGGCTCTGTCAAGTCAATACTGCATTGCAGCTTGGTCCACTGAAGAAGCCACGCCTGAGATATAAAAGATGCTCTACACTTTACCCGCTTTATGTTTGCTTCCTCTCCCCTTTTCCCTCATCAACTTTATTAGGTTAAAACACCACATACAGGCTTTCTCCAAATGACTCCCTATGTCTGGGGTTTGGTTAGAATTTTATGCCCACATAAACCAAACTTGTGGCTATGCTATTTGGGCCCTGCCATAACATTTGACATAATACAAAATATAAAGTCATAGGGAAAACTTCTGGATGCCGTCCCAAACCGTGGATTATTCAATTTAGAATCTCCTGAACCTCAAGAGGGTAGATAGCACACAACCTGTATGGATCCAGCTCTTGAGAAGCAGAAGCACACAGCTACACTGATTAAAAGATACAAATACTGTCTCAAGTTTTCTGTATTGGTATCCCAACGTTTGTTTAAAACTGATCCTTCACTAGGGGGAAAAAAAAAAAGCCAGTTTGGTTAAATTGAACAGAATGTAACTGCCAATTCTGAATAGCCACTCCATGAAAACAAGTTAATACATAATATTAGAAAGATGAAGGGGAGTATTTACTGGCACACAGCGCTCTTCACTCTCTCCATTTTGATTACAAAAGCAGGCCTTACAATATTGATTTCATATGCATTATTTGCCAAATTTTAAATGTGTCCTAATTAGATAATAACATGTACTGCTGTTAGTCTTCGCCATAGATGTCATTTTTCTTGCGCTTCATTTCCTCAAAGTCAAATTCTGATCCTGTCATCCTCTTGTAGATGTTTTTAATGTCATCACATGTTGTCTCAAAATGAGTGGTGGCATCGTATGTGCGGGAAATAAAGATCTGAAAACAAAAATTACAAAGACTTCAGATATGGAGGGATGTCTTCCAGTGAAACCTGCCCATATCCTTTTACACCTCCATACTCACCTGGCTTTCCATTCCCAAGTCTTTCGGTACCAGGAGGTCACTGATGCTAACAAATCTGGAGGGAGAGAGAATTCAGTCAGGTGAGCTGGTCCTACACCTGACCGCAGCTCTGCCTGAGATCAACTGAGAGGTACAGATGACTCCCACAGAGCAGCCAGCGGCTACCTGCCTTGCCCTCACATTCGTCCCACCATGGTGGAGCCACAATCAAAAGGCCTCAGTTTGCATCTTGGCAGATATAAAAAAACACAACTCACTTCTGTTCAATTGGTTCCAAGAGCTCCAAAGCTGGTCTGATTTCCTTCTCGGGCTCCTTGGTTTCCACGGTTGTACTAACTATGGCAATGTACTTCCCTTGTGCTGCTACATTGTGCGCAAAGGAGATCATGCAGACATAGATATCTAGAAACAAATAATAACAGCTCACTGCCTCAACTGTGTCCATGTCATGAGGTGTAAGTTAAAATTACTCTCAACAGGCAAGATCTTCTACACTTAAGTGCTAAACTGTGACAGAGCTGGATGTAAAGTACACAAATATTTGACAAGAATTTCTTTTAACCTACTAGAGAATAAGAATTTAAGTGGTAGCAAACTGCTGAACTTTGGAATGAGATCTCTTAACAGCTCTGTCATACCTAACTAAAAAAGCTACCAAACCATATTAACTGTTCTAGGAGATTCTTCCATTCTGGACCTTGCATTTGGAAAGGTTCTGAATGGCTAAGAAAGGATATACTTAGTACTGATGGCCTCATTTACTTATTAAAGTAATGTAAAATTGCAGGATCCACATAAACCACTTCTGAGTTGGCATAACTTGATAGAATTCTCGATTAGACTTGGTCTGTATACCACTCATCCAATTAATTGTGTAATTTCCAGAATAGAAAAGCATTTGGATAGGAGAGCATTTAAAGGCAAAAAAAAACACAAACAAACAAAAAAACTATGGGACCTCCTTTATTCTTTCTATACTCACAAGGCCCCAGGACCGGCTTGGGAACCTTTCGGAAGATTTAAGTCCAGTCCCTTTGTTCTACAGATCATCTTTTGTGATTGGTTTGTATGTTTAAACAGTCTGGCTCTATCACCCAGGTTGGAGGCAGGGATGCAATGACAGCTTACAATAACCTGAAACTCCTGAGCTCAAGTGATCCTTTCCCACCGCACTCTCCCACGTAGCTAGGACTACAGGTGTGTGCACCATGCACGCCTAGCTTTTTTTTTTTTTTTTTTTTTTTTGAGGTTAGGTTTCCCTTTTTTTCCCCAGGTTGGTTTTTAACCCCTGGCCTCAAGCAAGCCTTCTGCCTTGGCCTCCCATGATTTCATTTCTTATATGGGGGGGAAAAAATCATAATACAGATAGCTCTTACCTGTCCCATAAAGCCTGATTACCCTTTTTAAGCTGCATTTTAGATAAAAATATTTGGGGCTTCTAGTTGAAAGGAAAATGGGAACATCGAAGGGTTACAAACAACTGGCTAAGACAAATAAATTAGGACTTGCAATTTTAGAGCCATGTCCTGATCACAGAAATGAAAGGTAGACACTACTAGAATCAAATGTAAGTACTAAGATTACAAATAAGGACACAGAAGCAGCTATATCATTAGCTCAAGAATATACTCGGGTCAGTTAACTATTAAGCATAAACCTCCACAGGCACCTACTGTTAGAGCTGGGAGACCCAGGGTTCACTAAGCCCAGTCTGTTCATTCTGCAGATGGACACAAGTCCAAGGCTGGCTCCGAGTCGAACCTGTCCACAACACAATGCTGCCAGACCAGGAGGAGGTACAATGACGACATTTTTTCCCCATATGTAAACCAATCTCTGTTCACTAATACAGCATACAAAATTAGGAATCTAGGATACAACACAAAGCAAAGTATATCTTACAAAATTCTACCGACATCTGCTGGTCTTCAAACCTCACCTGACTTTCGATTGACTTGGTTCTGTGGAATAATGATCTGGCAGGAGTTGGCATCATTGGTGTTCTTGATGGGGTGGCTGAGGATGCAAATAACTCTGATCACCTGGCCCACTTTTTCTACCCGATCTTTTACATAGCTGGGGTCACAGATGAGCTGCTTACAACGAGCAATCTATAATAAAGCATTTAAGAAGACACTGAAGCTGACAAAGATATATGGAAACACATCCCATGTTCACAGTTTGGAAGACTTAGTATTGTTGAGATATCAAAAACCATCCTAAAGTTCATACTGGTTCCCAAGGGATTGAATTCTGGAACAACCAAAACAATCTTAAGAACAGCAAAGCTGGAGGACTCACTCACTAAAAAGCTACAGTGACCAATTCAGTGTGGTACTGGCATAGTGACAAACGTATGTACCAATGAAACAGAAAAGACAGCCAGAAATAAACCCTCGCATCCACAGTACAGTGATTTCTGACAAAGTTGCAAAGACCATTCAATGAGGGAAAAGCAGTCATTTCAACAAACCGTCCTGGGAAAACTATCCACATGCAAAAGAATGAAGTTGGACCCTACCTGACACCACAAAAACTAACTCAAAATGGAATAAAGACCTAAATGTAGTATCTAAAACTATAAAACTCTTAGAAGAAAACAGTGGAAAAGCTTCCTGACGTTGGAGTTGGCAGTAATTCCTTAGATCTAAAACCAAAGACATAGGCAACAAAAAGACTTCATGAAAATAGGATTTCATGAAAATTTTAAAAATTTTGTGCACAGCCAGGCATGGTGGCATGTGCCTGTAACCCCAGCTACTTGGGAGGCTGACAGGAGAATTGCTTGAGCCCAAGACTTTGAGTCCAGCTTGGGTAACACAGAGCAAGACACTGTCTCTCTTAAAAAAGCAACAAAAAAATTTTTTGCATCAGAAGACACTAATCAAGAGTTTAGGCAACTCACAGAATGAGAGAAAATATCTGCAAATTATATAGCTCATAAGGGATTAATATCCACAATATATCAAGAACCCCTAAAAACAACAACAACAAACCCTGATCCAAAAATGATCAAAGGGCTGGGCGCAGTGGCTCACACCTGTAATCCCAGCACTTTGGGAGGTCAAGATGGGCGGATCACCCGAGGTCAGGAGTTGGAAACCAGCCTGAACAACATGGAGAAACCCCATCTCTACTAAAAATACAAAACTAGCTGGGCATGGTAGCGCACGCCTGTAATCCCAGCTTATCAGGAGGCTGAGGCAGGAGAATTGCTTGAATCTGGGAGATGAAGGTTGTGGTAGCCAAGATCACGCCATTGCACTCCAACCTGGGCAATGAGCAAAACTCCTCTCAAAAGAAAAAAAAAAAAAAAAATCGAAGGACTTGAATAACATTTTTCCAAAGAAGATATATAGGTGGCCAATAAGCACATGCAAAGATGTTCAACATCACTAATCATAATTTCAGTGAGATGCTACCTCACAGCCATTAAGACTGCTACTGTCAAAACAGAAAATAAGCGTCAAGGATATGGAGAAACTGGAACTTCTTGTGCACTACTGATGGGAATGTAAAATGGTCCAGCCACTATGAAAAATGGTATGGCAGTTTCTCAAACATTAAAAACAGAATTACCATAAATCATCCAGCAATTCCACTTCTGGGTACACACCCAAAAGAACTAAATGCATGGTCTTGATGAGGTATTTGTACATCCATTTTCATGGTAGCATTATTCACAGTAAGTAAAACATGGAAGCAATCCAGGTCTCCGTTGAAGGATGAATGGATAAGCCAACTATGGTCTATCCATACACTGGAGTATCCTTCAGCCTTAAAAAGGAAATCCTGACACATGCGACAACACAGATGAGCCACGGAGGCATCACGCTAAGCGAAATAAGCCGCGAAAAATACTACGTTATTCCATTTATATAAAATATAGTAGCTAAAATCATAGAGAAGGAAAGTAGAATGGTGCTTGCCAGTGGCTAAAAGCAGGGAATGAGGAGTTATTACTCAATTGGTAGTTTCCTTTAGAAGAGGAAAAGTGACGGCGGGCATAGTGGCTCACACCTGTAAAATCTCAGCACTTTGGGAGGCCAAGGTGGGTGGATCATCTGAGGTTAGGACCAGCCTGGCCAACATGGGGAAACCCCGTCTCTACTAAAAATACAAAAACTAGCCGGGCGTGGTGGTGCGCATCTATAATCCCAGCTACTTGGGAGCTGAGGCAGGAGAATTCGCTTGAATACGGGAGGCAGAGATTGCAGTGAGCCAAGATCATGCCGCTGCACTCCAGCTTGGGTGACAGAGTGAGACTCCATCTCAAAAAAAAAAAAAAAAAAGAGGAAGTGTTATGGAGATGAATGGTGGTTGTACAATGAAGTGAATACATTTAATACCACTGAACTGTACACTTAACAATGGTTAAGATGGTAAATTCTGGCCGGGCGCAGTAGCTGACGCCTGTAATCCCAACATTTTGGAAGGTTGAGGCAGGTGGATCTCCTGAGGTCAGGAGTTCGAGACCAGCCTGGCCAACATGGTAAAACCCCGTCTCTACCAAAAATACAAAAATTAGCCAGGCATGG